AGGAATGCAATCAAAAAGTTCAGAAAGTTTTATCCTTTGTGGTTAACCCTGTATCTTGTTGAATAGGTTAGGAAAGGTTTATCCTTTGTGGTTACCCCTGTATCTTGTTGAATAGGTTTGGAAAGGTTTATCCTTTGTGGTTACCCCTGTATCTTGTTGAATAGGTTTATAAAGTTTTATCCTTTGTGGTTACCTCTGTATCTTGTTGAATAGGTTTGGAAAGGATCTGGTGAAAGTTTATTTAAGTTGATAGATATGTAAATAAACCAACACTATATAAACTTATCTCGACAAACTTTAGAATTAAATTAGGAAGGTGACAGGAAGGCTCAGACAATAATGTTTTTTAGTTTTTTATTAAAAAAAATGTGAAAATCAAAGAAATGACATTAATTTAAGATACCAATTTCTGTCTACAACTACAACACCACTCTTACGTCAGGACTTGAGTAATTCTATGTAGGGGGCTTTGCTCCCCCCCGTTTCCACATTTATACTGTTTTTACATTTTTACATCCCCAGCTCACTGAAATGCTGACTGATATCAGGAGAGACACGTTATTACTTTTTACTGCAAATTGAAACATAAAATTGAAAAATCTAGATCGGCTCTATGAGGGGGGAGTGCAGAAGGTAATCACTGCCACCCAAACGTATTTTGCGGCATGCGCGCTCCTCAATTGGTAATCTCCACCACCTCAATTTGTAATCAGAAGTAAAAAATGTTAACACTAATCGTTTTTCTTAAAAAAAAAACAATTTTTTTTTATTCGATACAGGGTAGGGTGTCCACCGAAACCCGACGGTTGAGAGACTGTGTTCGATCTTTGAAATACTTTGCGGTATTCGTCGTGATCTGTCAGCAGATGACCCTTTACCACAGGTCAGAAAGTCGATCCATGCCCTTCACTTAATGACCGACTCAAAACTTTTTCTTGTAAACTTTATCCAATGTGTTGATGTCGCTGGTATTTAAAGTTATTCTATTTTCATATTTTTCACTTTTTTGCGGGTTTTTTTAACGAACTTTGACATTTGCGGATCAGTCTTGTAAGAAATGGATCCGAATGCAATTCATGATTATTTCTTCAAATTTTACTAACTTATTAATAAAAGAAAAAATTCCAAAGTTTTCTTCTTCCTTTTTCCCCTGACAGTTACTTCACTGAAACTTGATTTAACATTTAGAGCTCAGAAAAAGTTTCAACTTTTAATAATAATCTCTGCAATATAAGAGACATGAGGTTGAAGTTTTCAGATAAATTATTTTTATCGTATATTTTGAGATAAATTATTTTTGCCGTACATTTTGGGAATAATTATCTTTGCCGTATATTTGAGATAAATTATTTTTGCCGTATATTTGAGATAAATTATATATTTTTGCCGTATATTTTGAGATAAATTATTTTTGGGATATATTTTAGATAAATTGTTTTTTGATGAATATTTTTAGATTATTTTAGGCGTACATTTTCAGATAAAATTATTTTTGCCGTATATTTTGAGATAAATAATTTTTGGCATATATTTTCAGATAAAATTATTTTTGTCGTACATTTTAGTTTTTCTATTTGAAGTTTTTTGACGACCTAAAACTCTTGAATACGAGAAGGTTCAGTTTTGCCTTTTACCTTGTACTAACAAAAAACCTGCAGAGGGCCTAAACAAGAAAACAAGACGGAATATATTCCATACATTCGTCTCTAGAGTCTCATGTGTTTTGGACCGAATATATTCCATACAGTCGTCTCTAAAGTCTCATGTGTTTTGGACCGAATATATTCCATACAGTCGTCTCTAAAGTCTCATGTGTTTTGGACCGAATATGTTCCATACAGTCGTCTCTAAAGTCTCATGTGTTTTGGTCCGAATCAGGGAGTAAGGAATAGAAGGGAGATATAACTGACGCGGTCCGTCCTACCATATGATTATGCGTGCTTTGCAGACGGGTACTCCATTTGTATGAAAAATATTCAAAATAGGTTATTGTAATTGTACATCGGACAAATATTTCTTATACAAATGGAGTACCCGTCTGCAAAGCATGTATAATCATATTGTAGGGCGAACCGCGTCGGTTTATTTTCCTTCTATTCCTTACTCCCTGGTCGGAATCCAGGAGGGTAAATGTTGAGAATCCTAAAACTAAGTGCTCTGCATTAAAGAAAAATTTGTCATCAAAGCCATGAATCTCCAACAACTTCTGTCTGGATAAGTAATTTAAATTTTCTTCTTTTTCGCTTGTTTTAATCCCAGCTCAGTTCATAACAACAATATTTACGTGTTACATTTATTTTCAAATCGTAATAAACACGAATATATAAATATATATAATATTATATTGAGAATTCAAGCCTCTGAAATAAAATAAATTAAAGCGGGTGAGTAAAGAACTATATTATACCCCGGGTGTAAGAGAATACGGGCAATAGTTCAGTCCGACCCTAAATTACAATAATTAATATCAATTAGGTTAAACATTTAATAATATATAAAGGAATTGTCAACTAAATATTAGAATTATAATTATTTTAACATTCCCTTTAATATTAAAAAGAGTTTGTACGCGACATTAATATTAAAAGTTGATGCAGCTTCTTAGATATTTACATTTACAACATATATGAACAATTAGAAAAATAGATACACAAAACTTTGTCAAATTCCTTAATGTCTGAAATTGTACTTTTTTCCAACAAGGTCGATCTCGTTCCAGCGACGACGTCTCCAAAAAAATCTCAGGGCTGTATAATTTTAGAAAGGATTTGTGATGATCTGGGGATAGGTAAAATAAAAAATTCCATCCTTTTCATTACATTTTACCCAAAAATGTTATTACTGTGATAACAACTCTGAAATAGGAAGTCGACATTAAAATTCAAGTTATGACTCTAAATAGTCCAGTTAACAGAAGGTGTGCAGTGTAAATGGACCCATTTCACTAAATAAGTTGCAGTAAATTACTAGTTAATAACATTACTAGTAAAGCTTTTTGCTTTGTAACAACATCAAATGCACTTTATCCTGCATTAATGTCGTCTTCCTAGTCAACAAAACGTCGATGATACAATAAGTCGACTACTTCAAAACGTAGAATGACAAAACGTCGAAATTACAAAACGTCGACTGCTATAAAACGTCGACTGCTACAAAATGTCAACTGCTAGAAGCAAAAATAATGTGAGACACGGCACATTATTCAACATTTAAGAGGCTACAGAGCTCAGCCCCTTGCCCATTCTAGCCGCAGCGCTCGGTCAAGAAATTGTCTTAACCTAACATAACCCAGCATAATCTAACATTTAATAACTGTCGACGTTTTGTTAATAGATGCTTTGAAGCTGTCGACATTTTGTAGTAGTCGATGTTTTGTATCATCGACGTTTTGCTTTTATGACATTTTGATAATCGACGTTTAGATAATCGACGTTTTGTACCTTCTTCCTTGAAAGAGGGGGGGGGGAATAATTTTAAAATAAAGTATACACCCATGAACATTCTTCGAAAGCGATAAATCGACAACTTACTCTATTAAAAATATAAATCAAGACTAACACATGAGAAATAAAACAAAGTTTTGATAAAATTACTATAATAAATGAAGTACAATATCTGACGATACTTTAAAACTAAAATAATAATATTTTAAATAATACAGGGCATCATTGATTATTATCTATATTTTTGGCATTTGAAAGAGGTTTGAAACAATATTTACAAATTACCGAGGTTTTTTGGTATACTACTTAACTAATAAAACTATACAGTAAGTTTTATGAACACATGATAATGATAATATCTTCTAATTCAGATGATCAATGATTAGGGGCAATGATGGGGGGGAAGGGATTTGGATAACAATTTAAAATTTGTAACAAAAATTCAATAGTTTAAATGAATGAATAAGTAATTACAAATGAAAGGAATTAAAATTGAACATAATTTTGTTAAGTTATTATTTTATCTCTAGTAGGTATTTGAGACTTTGTTTGCACTGCAAATAGACTTTAATAAATCCTTTTAGCCTTTCTATCCAATAAAACAGTACATTTCTCTTCATCTCAGTTGGTAAAATAAAAAAAGGACATTTTTCTGAATTGAAAAGTATTTCTATACCGAACCCATCGAGACGGAGTAATGTTTGCAGTACCATAAGATATTATTATTAATAATCATGCAAAAATTGAATATATATTTAAAATGCAACAAATGCAAAAGACACTACTACCGATGTAAATTGAACATATGGAGGGGCAGTTCAAATTTCGACTACAGTCCCTTAAAAAGAATAAAAATGGTGAGCTCCTGATCTGCCAACACGTCAGCAGGTTTCCATCAATTCAAATAGGAAATTGAGAATAAAATGTTAATCTGATAAAAACATTTTAAATTTTGTTTAAAACTTGAAACTTCTTGAATGTTTAGAATTTCTTTAAAGGAAACCTCAACCGTGTTAGGAAGTGCTTTCTACCGTATTGATTTTTTCATGGTTCAAATGTGTTTAGAGCAGGATATAATTTAGCTCAATGTTTCTTCATGAGGAGTTAATGAGAAAATAATTCTTAATCCTAGAGTAAACAACTTTCCCACATTTTCGTTTTTTTTTAATAATTTGTATCGAGTGAAGCTTAATAATACATTATTTTCGATAATAAGATAAAAACCCAAGCTTAAGTAATATCTACTATTTGATTTAAGCGAAGAACAAAGATCATAAATATCATTATGGTAAAATATGTAAGAAATACATAAAGCATTAAACCACAAAAGAGCTAATTAAGGCTGGGTCATAATTAACTCCTAAAACTTAATAATAATAATAATGATAACAATAATAATAATCGCAGCCCCAACCTTTAATTATTAGAAATTCATTAAGAAAAAGGAGGAATTATTATGAAGGCGGCTGGGGGGGAGGGGGGGCATTATATAAGGAGAGAGGGACGATAAATAAGGTGATGGGGGGGGGGGGACAATGAGCAGGCCGGGGGCCTTACCTAATATTTTGAATTCTACAAAAAATACACAATCTATAGTTTGTATCTACTGTACACTGTACAATGTATGTATTTATATAATAATTAATTCATAAGAAATTAACTTAACCAGTTAATTTTAATCCCATGATTTTATTCTAGTTACTTTTATCCTCAAGGAGCAGCTCTTTGCAAGTAAAGGAGCAGTATTTAGTATACAGGAGCAGTTTTCTGTTAATACAGGAGCAACCAATCTTGAAGCAATCTGTAGCTTTGTTTCAGGAACATTAAAAGATGCTCCTTAACACTTTGTAAAAATTAAGAGGATCAGCAAAGCATGTTAAAGATTTGTTCAATCTGAATATTCTATAAGAAGAGGTCCCGGTTTCCTGATCTTTAGTTAACCCTGAGAAGAATCATCTGCTAAGATTTGCTCTCTATAACTGCTTGAAGATCCTCGGGCAATGTTGAGACGATTTTCCGTACATGCGTCTCCAGTCGCTCCTTGACTATATCGGAGATAGGTAAACCAGTTCTATCTCCTTCAGTCAGTTTACCTCGAATCCTGAACGAGAAAATAGTCATAATCTAAAAAAACTCCAGGGACGCAATTTAACGAATTTGACCTACGTCGCTGAACTAAGTACGGCTGGTTCAAATTTAAACCACTATTTCAAAGCTAAAAGTTAAAGGATTTGAATCGGTGATTCAAATTTGAACTGGTGTTCAAATTCATTAAGTTCGGTCCCAAGAAATAAGTAAGATTTAAAGAGATTTTTTTTCCAAATATACGTTAACATTTGCTAATGGTCATTTTAACAAACACTTTATTTAAAGAAAGTCATAAACATTTCACAACGATGCAATTTAAATCCGGTAATGAACTAGGTAGGAAATATCTTCTAGTTTTTATTGTCTGAAAATATAACAAATTCTGCAGGGTCAATTCTTGAAAGCGAGGATTTACAAAACAGAAACAAGCAAGGAAATTTGTATAATTATGTAAACAACTACTATGTTTCTTAGATAACAATGCCAGTGCGAAACATTATTGGCACAGGGGCGGCTTACGATATTTTTCAGAGGGGTGGGATAGTTAAATTATATTATTTTACACAGAGAATTTTATCATTTTTACATCAAAATTTAAGGTCTAGAAGAAGAATATTATCTACGTTTGCCCCTTATTTTTCCAGGGGGGGGGGCGTCCACCTTCCCCCCTCTTAAGCCGCCTCTGTATTGTCACTCTTTAATTGATGTGTAACATTAGGTTGACCATCCTTTAATAAACAAAAAATATTAGAAACATACCTAAGCACCATATCTACCAACTCAACCTCCGCCTTCCCCTCCATCCAGATCTCAATCTTAGCCTCCGACAAGCACTCCAGGTGCAACAAACTCAGCTTAGAGGATACCTCCGCATGCCGAGCATTAAACCAACCAACGAAATTTGGACTTTTTAGGAACCGTCGGTAGAGGGCGGCCCAGTCCCCCTTAGTTCTGGACGTAAGCTGGGGTCCGCTTTGTTCTAAGGATCGAATAAATTCGTCGGCGTTGAAGGGTTTCACCTTCGGCGGTGCTCGGTACGGAGAAATGGAACGAGCTAGCGGCATTAAACCCGCCAAATATCTTTCCAGTGGTATCAAAAATGTCTAAAATAAAAATGATTAATGCTTTCGAATTTTTATGATAAAAAAGTTTAATTGGGAAAATTGAAGTTCTTCAAACCTGAGTTAGTTCAAGGAAATATCTCCGGAGCAGGGCAGTTTGAACCTCAGCTGGTCTTCGGAGCTGAACTCCTTTCAATATTCTCTTTACTATCTCACGATCCTTCTCCAGGTGTGGCTTAGACTGCGTGAACACTCCAGGTTTGGTCTCACTCTTGAACTTGGTAGAGGAAGATCTCTTGGTTTTGGATGGAGACTTGAGAGCGGAGAGACTGGAGGGTTCTGCTAGACGGACCAGGTTCGGCCAGTGCTCCAGGGCCTAGTTGAAGTATATATAAATCCAGAAGAAGATAAATTTTAGGAAGACATTTCGCATCAAATAATTTGTGAACATACCGTTTTAAGGCAAAAAAAGAGAAAAACTACATAGAAATCAAATTTGATATTTTTTCACTTTTGAGAATTGTGTTTAAAAAATTATATTTAAGTATAACAGCTAGGAAATTGAATAAATATTATGAACTGGAGTAAGTTAATATTTCTTACGAAAAGGAGTTGAGAAAATGAATTAACTCCTTTACATTAATAATACATAAGACTGACCTTATTAAAGAATGGATTGGTGACTCCTAGAAGAATTGACGGGAGCGCTGAAGAGTTGCTGGTGGTCATCTCTTTTAAATCCGCGTCATGTATCGTGTAGAAGGGTCGATAATCAGCTACATATCTAACGTAGAAATTTATCTATGTATCTGTCTGTTGGTTTGTATTCAATAAACGTCAAAACGGCTGAGCCGATCAGGCCCAAATTTTTAAAGCAAAACTCACAAGACCCCAGGAAAGGGTTATTTTCGTATTTTGAAAATCCACGAAAAAAAATTTAAATTAGCAAATATTCCATCTAAAAATTCTATTAACTATGGTTGGGTTTAAATAATTTAATCTCTGGTTTAAAATTAAAATATTTGATAAATTTGTTTCATTCTAGGAAAAGAATAAAGAAGCCTGACAAAAGCACAAACTAAAATATTTATCATAACATTTAATACTTTAGATAATTCTGAATATTATAAAAACAAAACCAGGTTTGAACTCATCAATCAGATTAATGAGAAAATCCATTCATAGGGAAACACAAGGAAAAGAAAAAAAGAAAAGGAAAAAAGAAAAGGAAAAAAGAAGACAATTGAACTGAAAAATGAGAAGGTAGAGGGTTGGGGTGATAGAACGACTATGGAATTAAGATCTTACCTTAGTGGTTGAATGATAGTAGTGAGAGCCTGAACAGTACTCGAGCACTGGAACGGAGAAGGAGCTAAAACCACAACAGGTTCAGCAGTTAGAACCAGCTCCCAGAGACAATGAAGATGCTCCAGGAGAGGGAGCAGGGTTGGGTAGAGATCAGGTAGGTTTGGGACGGATACTCCACCTCCACTCACAGTAACGGTTTCGTTAGAATTATCTGTATGCCGAGAGGAGAGGGCAGGGATATGAAGCTCTATCAGGCTTCCCAACATTGGCAGGGTCAGATGGTGACCTGAGCATTATACATCTATATATATATAAAGTAGTAGTCTATGTTTGTTTATATGTCAGATCATAACTCAGCAACCCCTTGACAGATTTGCCTCAAAACTTGATTAGGAAACTCGGAAGAGCCACGGGAGTATTCCTAGCTTAAGATTTTAAGTTGAACGGGTTTACTTTTATAGAAAAATAGCAAAAATTGTAATTTACGACCAAGCGCGGGTAAACGGCGGGAGTAACTATGAGTACCCTGGGCAACACTGGGTACTCAAGTTAGTAAATATATGATTTAATAATAGGGCAAAACACTGTCTATTGATATGTATATTTATTAGGGTGAAGACTTTTGCTATTCCATCCTATCTTCTAGGGGTAAGAAAGTACATAAAAGAATTATGAAGAATGTTTTAATATAGTTACTAAAATAAGAGGAAAAAATTATGGGTGACAATGTACATTACAAAGTTTTCAGACCGAACGACATAAATTATTTGTTTGTATCAAAGTTTCAGCTTATAAACTCAATATCCACAGTGTGGACTTGTAATTGAATGGTTAAGTTTAATACTGGAAACCCGTCAAGAGATTAACTAAAACTCAATATCCACAGAATGGACTTGTAATTGAATGGTTAAGTTTAATACTTGAAACCCGTCAAAAGATTAACTAATTATTCAAAGAGAAAATAAACCGCTGAGCGCTAAAGCCATAAATTAAAGCTCAAGCTAGTGTTAAAATCGGTTAAGCAATTAATTTTAATCTAAATATTTCAATATTAACAAATTCTCCCAAAGTAAATTCAAAGTATTTCATGATTAACTCTCTAGAAGGGATCATTAAATAAGATTAGGGTTAACCCTGGAATGAAGTAATTAAACTTTTACAAGTTTTCGTGAATCCTTCATTAATTACACTTCATTAAGAATTCTGGAGAGGATTTCATGATTCTTTGGTAAACATCCTTTAGTAGAAAAAAAAAGAATATTTCTTTGTTGGTTGTCATTGTTCTTGATCAAACCAACAACTGATGACTTTTAGATCTGGTAATACTTTATATGAACTTTTCAAATTCATGTTTATGTTAGAATCTTGAATTCCTGTTTTTCTTGAATTTGTCTTGAATTCATGTTCATTCTTGAATTTGATGCAAGTAAGAACAAAATTGAGATAAAATCCATTGGATGATGATGGTGGCGCATCAATATGTAAGAAGAAATTATATCATAGCATGTTTTTTGGTTTATTCTTGAATTAATTTGAGTAAAGTATTTAAATTGGCGCAAAAATCACGCAACCTCTCACACATTCATGCTTTGACCATGTCTGTTATATTTCATAACCACATTCAGAGGTGCAAGTAGGTGCAACTAATTTTTCTCTTAACCATTTCTATAACACCAACATTGTATTTTGCCATAAGTCTGGGTGCATCAAAATGTATCAAAAAAAATCTGCTTATCTTCAAAAAAATGTCTTGAAAAAAAAAAATATTTTTTGAGGGTTCAAATATTTTAAAAAAGACTGAGTTTTAGTTCAATGGATATCAAACTTTTTCAAAATAATCTTTGAATGGTCACAAAGTAATGTGCTTAATTTCAAAAATATCGAATATAGTCTTCATGATTTTTTTTACCTAACATGTTAACCAGAAAATCTTAAATTTCTAACAAAAACTTCAGGGAACACGACAAAAAGTATATCTGTAGGAGGGGAAAAAGAAAAAATATTTTGATATTAAATGCAAATTTCTACCAATTAGGATGTTTAAAATCGAAATTAGTAAAAAAAAGTGTAAAAAATGAAAGTAAAAAAAGTAGGTTTTGCAAGTTGCTGGACCACTGTGCGCAGATTCAATTTTCTCAAAGAATTGAAATATTTATGAATTGTCAAGAAACTCCTACAAACACAATTTTATGACACCCACCTACATGCGAATTTTTTTTGTGGGGGGGGGGGTCGTTTACCTGGGGTAGGAGCAGGCCACCGATCAACATCGTGGCAGAATATCTCTAACGGAAGATCGCCATTCTCAAAGAATTTTTTCGCAACGATGGCGGATATCTGGGAGAAGAAGGATACTAGTGGAAGGTAGGTGAGAAGGATTACTGACTTTTGATAATATCCTCGTCGTATACTAGAGTCCTTCACCTGCCGGAAATACGCGAATCCAAACAAGAAGTTTTGATCGAGCTGAAGAGGTGGCAGACAGCGGGCATTGAAATTTGCCAATGCCGCCGCAGCGGCAGGAGGACCGACGTTATGGCCGGCGGTTCGTCGTATTCTAAAATGGAACTGGATATCACCCATGATCCCTGAGTTTGAATCCGGGAAGGCGAGGTAGCATATGTTGGTTCTATCCTGCTCCGAGAGCTGGTCTAACTCATCCAAGGTTTTACACTCCGGGAATGTGTTCTCTATGACCTGTCCTAGCTCCAAGTCGAAGGTTACAACAGCAACACTGTGGATCCAGGATCGGAATCCTCCCCAGTCGTAATCAGACTTATTCATCCTGCTTCAGGTTAATTACAAATTTTTGGATTTACGAGATTTGGGAAACCTCATTTGTCGGAGTAGGTCCTCGTTCTCTGATCCCATAACAGGAGTCCTGGAACCTTCCTGGAGGATACAGGAGAGAAAGAGAAGTCCACTAAGAGCTAGAATAGTTATCAGTAGAGGCACCTAGATATATTATAGTTTTAAGAATCGTTAACGAAATTTCATGAAAATTCTTTAATAAAAAAATCAAATTTCCGTTCAAACCAATAAAAGTATTTATTAAGAAATTTTTATTTAAGTGATTAAAATAGCCACCAAGCATATTTCGAAATAACAGAAAAGGTAGATATCAGAGAAAAATCTAAAAATATTTTTAATGTTCTATGTTTCTTTAATCCTTTTGATAAACCTTGGAAGTTCAAATATATGAGAACAGGAAATGAATATCTGGGGAAATTTAAAAAGTTGAATATATTGTACAAGTTTGAGAGGGGGCGAGAGGTTGAATTATGCATTTATTTTTCCCGTTGAGGGGGAGTTGGTTAATTATAGTTAAATATCTATTATATCTAAAATATTTAAAATATTTCATCCTCTGCTCACCTGAAGACCTGCAGTTAAAGGAATAGTCCGGAGAAGAAACCCTTGAATAATGTAGAACACGGCCTTGAAACCTAGAGCTAGTATTCCCAGATATACAACAGGTTTATAGTGGGTAAACACAGCAGATACCAGGAGTACACACTAAACAATAAAAAGTTTAGGCACAGGGGAAAATCTTGAAAATAATTTCTACCCCAACCATGATAATAGCGTGTGAAAGAAGATTTTTAGGTGCTAAATTGATACCTTTAAGGAAAATTATTTTTTTTGGAAGGAAACAGAGGAATTTCTGAAAGATAAGAAGCAAGAGGAAGTAAATGGTTTGCCTATACACATAGTTAGGAGGGATCACATAGAATGTATATGTAATTTGAGTAGTAAATACTGGCCTATATATAGATTTTAAAGCAACAACTTTAACGGCCTACAGAGAGGAAGAGGCGACTTATGATATTTTCCAGGGGGGCCCTTCTCCCCCATAAGCCTTAGGTCTTAGAATAAATAATTAAAATAATCATTCAAATACATTCCTTTCAAAGGCATTAAATGAGAGAATCGAAAAATGTCAAAAGCATCGTATTTTCTTACCGAGTTAAGAAGACTGTAGAAGCCGAATAGTTGAGAAATAATCGACTCCGCGGCAAGGGAGAGCTCGGACCCGACGAATATCTTGTTCTGGACAAAGGACACGTCTAATCTGTCCTCTGCGTCAACAAACAAACTAAACAAATTAAATTGTATTTTTTTCAATCTTTTGAAATTTATTTAACAAAAGATGATTAGGAGTATTTTTTTTAAAAAGAATAGTTGAGCAGTATAAAAAGGATATATTTCCAAGGGAGAAAATTTCAGCGAACAAAATAATTTCTGACTTTTTGAATTCACGAAAAAAAAAATATTCTCGATGAAACCCATAGGGCGAAGAGCGCAGCTACCGACCTTGAAGTAAGAGATCTAAGTGCGTTAACGAACTCGATGAACGCCACGAAGGCAAGAAATCCACGAACGGCAAACAGAACACTCAGCGCCATTTTAAATTTGCCATTATTCTGAAATCTGGTAACGAGGTCAGTGGAATTGTTTACAAGAATAATTTCAGAAAATATTTCATAAACCTAGATTTTTTTTCATTAGATAAATAAGAAAACAGTCTAACTTCTCATAGATGCAATAAGTGGGTTATTTGGATGTTTTTGCCATTCTTTTCTCAACATCTGTTTTAGTTGACTTAGACGCATATTAGGGTTTTCAGATTTAAGCTGGGGGAGACGAATATTTTCAAACTCTTCGTAGGCCGCCTTCATTCTCTTCTCAGGGTGCTTGTCTACCACAGGTTCAGAGGAAACGGAGAGAACGGATATGGCCTCATCAATGGTTCTAGCCTCCGAACCATCAACATTAACTCTAAAGTGAAGGATTTAAAAATAAAAAAAATCAGTTGCTTATTTGTGTTCTGAATTCCAGAATTTGGGATATTATTTGTATTTTCAATTTAATTTTGTCAAATTATTTAATTACCTGTTAACGTTGACTTCAATAGGTTTAGAAAGATGAGTTTCTAATTCTGGTTTCGTTGAAGCTTTCTTCGCGGCAATCTCTCTTCTCTCCGTCTCTTCTCGTATCCTGGCTTGAGTTTGTTTAACAGGGTTTACTTTTACGATCTTAGACAGGGTTTCCTTTTCTTCTTGTGCAGCCAGCTCATCACGTTCCTTCTTCTTAGCCAGAGCTTCAAGACGTTTCTTTTCCTGATCTTCTTTCCGGGATTGTTTTTTAGCTGAAAAAAAAACCCATTAAAATCAACAAAAAATTACTTTTTCGAATAGAGGGGGACAGTAACAGTTAAGAACCACTACACAAGGTGTTAAATCGAGATTCAGAAACTATATAAATATCATACATGATAATGATTAAGTCGGTTTCAGAGTACTTCTTCTTTGTCAACTTTATTAAAATATATGAAAAGATTAACAATTCATCAAAAAATATATCATACTGAACGATATTATTCAAAATTATATGATATTATATTAAGCTACTTTTCGCAGCACTCTCTAAATATGTTATGGAAAAATTATGTGCAATTTCGTTTTTAGCAAACAAACAAACTTTCGTTTAGAAACAGAATATGTATGGCTTCTTTAGAATTTGCAAACAATTTCTTTTCATCTAAATAAAAAATTGACAGAATGGGTTAAAAAAATAAACATAGAAATTAAATTCTTAAATCAGAAAAATCAAAGATCAAAGAGTTAGATTAGACGTTAGATCTTGATGAAAATAAACCTTATATGAATGTTTATTTATAGAAAAATAATCAAACGATATTTTCAATGGTTTCAATATAAAGTTCTTTAAAGAGAAGAGAAGAGCTGTAAACACGTTTAGTCTATATTGTTTCATATCGGAGCAGTTTCAATCCTTCGTTCTTCGACTTAGACATACATTCATTCAGTTGTCCTGTACATTCAGTTAAACTGTAGATAGCTTTTAATTAACCAAAACAGGTCTTTCCCAATCCCTTCCGTATTCTGGCATCGTTGTCTATGTGAAGCATATCTTTAGGTTTGGTTTCCTGCCCTGCTCCAAACCTGTGAGAAATCCAACCTTCCATCAGCATCCTAGGATCAGTAAATGATGACAATTTCTTGGTCCTGATTCCCCAGGTGTGAAAGCATTGGGTTAGACGAGTAGAGATGATGGGGTGATCACCGGATCTGTTGAATTCACGAATCTTGGAGGTTAAAGAGATCAACAGGTTTTGACGATCATTGACGATTTTTTGATGTCCATCATTAATAACGGTAATCATTAGAGGAAAGGGCAAAGCTCCCCTGATTTAGATCTCCAGACCTGACAGAGATTATTCCAACAGAATTACTAAAATATTGAATATTTCATGATCTGAGGCACCTCGGAGTATGTCGTTTATTCCTGCAACTAGATGAGTATTTGGCACTGAAGAAAACCTCAACTATCAACTTACCCTCACAATGATTAAAGTCCTTTACAAGATAATAGATACAAAGATAATTCTATCTCATAATAACATTGTCTAATGGAAAGGATTGTGAATCGTTGAAGAAACTCCTGAACTGGGGGGCAGCTAAAGAAAAATAGATTCTTAACTAACGTCGGTAATTCCTGAAGAACGAGTGTTGCCCCCCCCCCCTTCTTCTATCAATTTTGTACATGGATCTCATATAAAACACTAGGATATAATTGGTCTTGAGGCCGCAGCGCCCGGCCCCCTAGCAAGTCCTAGACGCAGCGCTCAGTCCCCAAGCCAATCTTACCGCTGCGCTCGGCCCGAAAATATTCTTAACCTAACCTAACCCTAAAATAATTATAAAAAAAATAATAATAATTTTGCTTAAAATTACTGTTCATGTACAAAATTGATAGGAGATGGGGGGGGGGGGTCCAAAATCGTAAATTAGGACGGACCTCTAACGTCTTTTTCAAACACAGAATTCATAATTCTTAAAATGTTTATAGCAAAGGTCCCAATTATATCTTTTTATCCACTTTTGAACGAACATTTGTGATTGGTTAAATAAACATAGTATTTGTTTGTCATTAAAATATAATTTAAAATGCAAATTTACCCAAACTTTTATCATCGTCCTCCCAGTAGGCGTCCTCCTTAGCTTTCTCTTTAGCATTTTTATCCGCCGTCAACTTTTCATTTTTACGCTCACGAGCCGCCGTCGCCTTGGAGTTCTCACCGCTCATCTTCTTGGGCATCTTGAGGTTTTATTTGACCTTGAATTTTATAAATTTGTAAATTCTCGATCTGTGATCATTATTTACACAATTTGAAATTTCACGATTTAAAGACTACCTTCTTGTAAAGAAAAATTTACGGAGAAAATGCAAAAAATGTGGATCATTTGAAAGTATTTACAGATATCTGATCTGATTAAAAGCGTAACTTTTCGCTAAGACAATAGGAGCAGAGAGAGAAAGAGAGAAATTGAAGTCCATGGAACTCGTAAAATAAAATATAAAAATGTCCGCGGCACCAATCCTCCTTCTCCAAACCAAATATATTTGGCTACCTCAATCATAGATCGCCATTATTTTTTATTTCAGTCCGTTAAAGCAACGTGAAAGCCGGTTACGTAAACTAGAATTGTTTTATTTCTTGTTGCGACTTGATTAAATGATATTTAGCTTGTGATAAACGTTTACAGTGAAGAGAAATATTGTTAATAAGGTTACTATATAATATGGCCTGCAGAAATATGTGTGTTAAATCTTCAACAAACTTTTTCTTGCTTCGTTTTGAGATTTGTATCTGAGCCTGTCTTGTCATGTACAGATGAAAAGTTGTTCTCATCAAAAATTCGGCCATCGACCGCGGCACATCTCAACCGTGAAACCGCTTGCGACCATTCATTGGACTTTCGTCGTGCCTTTCCACTTAAATCTCGACAAATAATGGAATGAGGAACAAGATATTTTAATCACCCCGGCCATCCATTTTAGGTCCTTTGCATAAATTGGCATTACGGATTCAGACATATTAGTATTCTATGAAGTTAGGCCCTTCTATTCTTCAATGGTTCTGTTTGAAAATCTACGAGAAAACTATAAATACCCATCAGTTTTGTATAGTAAAGAAATTTACAGGTAATCTCCAAGTTCCTAGAAGAAATCCCCCCCCCTCCCCGATCCTTATTTTATTTAATGCCCCATAGCCGCGGCGCGCGGCCCCTTAGTCAGTCTTAGGCGCAGCGCTCGGCCCAGAAAGCGTCTTAACTTAGCCTAACCCTAATTATATTCTTTAGTTTCTTGAAAAATTATTGAAATTGGGGTCTGTCCTGAGAGCAGCTCTCGACCCATTAGCCTTGCTCGGCCTAGAAGTTTGCCTATCCTACCCTTAATCCAAATTAAATATTTTTTTTGTTGAAAATAAATTCTAGGACATGTAATTTCAGCAAATTTATTATTATTTATTTTTTTTGTTATTTAGGGTTAGGTTAGGTTAAGACACTTTCTGGGCCGAGCGCTCAGGCCACGGGTTATGGTTGGCTAAGATACTTTCTGGGCCGAGCGCTGCAGCTAGGACTGGCTAGGGGGCCGAGCGCTGCGGCCACGGGATATGTTAAGTTAAGACACTTCCTGTCAGACCCATGTACAAAATTGATAGGAGGGGGGGGGGTCCAAAAATCGTTCTCTAGGAATATACAGATATAAGGGGGTCCAGAAATCGTTCTATAGGACAGATCCAATGTAAATGCATTCTCATCAATAATTACTGGCTTGTCCCCATTGATTGTCCAAGCCGCAGCGGTCGGTCCTAATATTTTCATGATCTAACCTAGCCCTAAAGCTTTAAAAAAACTAATGTGATGTGGAAGGAGATGCTTTGTAAAGAATAAATCTGAATGAGATGAAAATTTTATAAATAATATTTTTTATTGTTTCACAATTGTAATACAGAAAATTTTATGACTTGTACATTGTGGAAGATAGATATGAAGATTTTCAGTTTCTTCCTTGCTAAAAACTCAATATTCCAATTGCCATAAATAACCATGTTTTAATTAACTAAACTTCCAGACAGAATGATTCTAACCTTGTTGAAGTTACTGTTCTACAAACTCTACCTAAACCTGATCGGAGCAGTCCTGGTTGTTAAAGAGCAGATTCTAGATCGACATAGAGTTCCAGTAATCCCTGAGGATCAGTATGGAAGAACGATCGTGATCACCGGAGGATCCCGGGGTATAGGGTTAGAAGCTGTTAAGAAGTACTTGAACATGCAGTGCAGTATTATTATTGGATGCAGAAATGTGGAGCAAGCTAGAAATGCACTGAGCTCCTACAATAGTTCGATGGTTCGGATCCTACCTCTGGATCTTATGAAACTCAGCTCCGTCCGAAAGTTTGCCAAAACCATCTTGGATTATGATATTCCAATTCACGCACTTACAAATAATGCTGGGATTATGTTTGGTCCCCGAAATGAGTCGGAAGATGGGTTTGAATCTCAGCTAGCAACTAACTATCTAGGACACTTCCTCCTAAGTCATCTACTCCTACCAAGCCTGGAGCAGGGTGGAACAGCTGAGAAACCTGCAAGGATTGTAAACGTCTCCTCCTGTGCTCACTTTTGCGGATCCTGGATGGATTTCGAGGATTTGAATATGAAAAAATTCTACTCACCGGAGAAAAGTTACGGTAACTCAAAAGTAGCGCAGATTTTGTTCTCTCAGTACCTGGATTCCAAGCTGTCAGCTCGGGGCAGCAAGGTTCGAGTTATCTCTCTTCATCCCGGAGTAGTTTATACAGATCTCTATTCTCATGTTGGTTGGGTTCAGATATTTACAATTGTTGCTCGTTGTCTGATGAAAACTGTATCTCAAGGTGGAGATACTCTAGTCTACGCCGCTCTCGCTACAGAGCTTGATAGTGCCAAGACGGTTGGATTATACCTAGAGAACTCCAGGCTAACAAGCACTAGTTCATTCGCATCATCTCTGGAAAATCAAACCAAGCTCTGGGAGAAAACTTGCGACATGCTGAAAATCTCAGATTTTTTTGAGACCACCATTTGATTAATAACTTCCAATGCATGAAAAAAGTTACCTTCATTTTGATTTAGCAACTGCTCTCTAGATAATTTTTTACTTGTTACGAAACATTCCCAATATTATTGGACGAATTGTACGATATTGCTGGACAACATTAGTATTAAAGTTGTGATTTTGTTAAACATAGTTCCAACTTAACTTTCATATATTTTTATTTTTATATTATTTCCATCCGAATTATTGTTAACATTTAAATATTTATTTACATTTATTATTGAGAGATGTAGTATATTATTTTACATTTTTATATTTTATTTTTTATATTTTCAGACACGATGAGTCTACTTGCTTTTAAAGTTAAAGATTTATGTGTAGGAGCTGGGACTAAACATTGCAGACAACTTCTTAACTTTAACTCTTCAACCTTTAAACTTCTTTCCACCAGGTATACTTAGCTCCTTATCCTTCCTTTCCACCAGGTATACTTAGCTCCTTAACCTTCCTTTCCACCATGTATACTTGATCCTTATCCTTCCTTTCCTCCAGGTAATCTTAGTTTCTTATCCTCCCTTTCCACCAGGTAACCTTAGTTCCTTATCCTTCCTTTCCATCAGGTAATCTTAGTTTCTTATCCTCCCTTTCCACCAGGTAACCTTAGCTCCTTATCCTCCCCCAGGTATACTTAGCTCCTTATCCTTCCTTTCCACCAGGTAAACTTGACCCTCATCCTTCCTTTCCTCCAGGTAATCTCAGTTTCTTATCCTCCCTTTCCACCAGGTAACCTTAGTTCCTTATCCTTCCTTTCCAACAGGTAACCTTAGTTCCTTATCTTTCCTTTCCATCAAGTAACCTTAGTTCCTTATCCTCCCTTTCCACCAGGTAACCTTAGTTCCTTATCCTTCCTTTCCACCAGTTAACCTTAGTTCCTTATCCTTCCTTTCCATCAGGTAACCTTAGTTCCTTATCATTCCTTTCCGCCAGGTAACTTTACTTCCTTATCCTTCCTTTCCATCAGGTAACCTTAGTTCCTTATCCTCCCTTTCCACCAGGTAACCTTAGTTCCTTATCCTTCCTTTCCACCAGGTAACCTTAGTTCCTTATCCTTCCTTTCCATCAGGTAACCTAAGTTCCTCATTCCCTCTTTCCATCAGGGAACCTTAATTCCTTATCCTCCCTTTCCATCCGGTAACCTTAGTTCCTTATCCTTCCTTTCCATCAGGTAACCTAAGTTCCTCATTCCCTCTTTCCATCAGGGAACCTTAATTCCTTATTCTTCCTTTCGATCCGGTAACATTAGTTCCTTATTCTTCCTTTCTACCAGTTAGCCTTAGTTTCTTCCTTTCCACCTTATCCTTCCTTTCCATATTACACTAGCGCTATCGGCTTTATCATTGTTTGTTTTTAGTTCTGTAGTTCAACAGAAGGAAGTGTTCCAGCGAGATAAACCCCATTGTAATATTGGAACTATTGGACACGTAGATCATGGGAAAACAACACTTACTGCCGCCATTACCAAGGTGGGTTCATACTCAAGAATAAATTGGAAAAAGTATGATTCTAAAAACTGAAAGAAATAAACATGCAGACTTCTATATATATATATATATATACTTTGCTTGTCTATCTGTCAGTTTGTTTGTATCCAATGAAACGGCTAAACCAATTGAGCCAAAATTTTGTACGAGACCTCACATGACCACAGGGAAGGTTTATGGATGATCAAATTTCAAAAATAAGCCCCCAACAAAATTCGATTTTTATTCAATTTTGAAAATCCACGAAATCTTTTTTTATAAATTACGCGCTACTTTTTATTTATTGTGTTACAAAGTATACAAAGAGAAAATGTTCACAATTGAAATAGAAGATGGGCTTGGAGCACCCTGAAATAGAAGATGGGCTTGGAGCACCCTGAAAGCCCAGTTACTCATAAAACACTTCATACAACTTACAAGTATTAGTGTTAATTATTTCACTTCGGATTAAAACATCTGATATTGTATTTTTAATCTAAGATATATTTTCTATTTTTATAAAAAAAAATTATTAAACGGTATTGTTGGTTAACAGAGAAGTCGGATCATCATATTATTATTATTCAGAGATTGGAACCTGTATTTATTGTTAATGTTGTAAACCCTTGACCTAGTATTCAATGTTGGCACTTTGTTTGAGGATAAATGCTTGATTTCTCTATTAAAGTTATATGACCGTCACGGGATATCGACGAGGAATAATACGTAGATCTGCATAAAATTGATTTCAATGCTTAATCCCGGATGCACAACACAAAACTTCTGACTTCAGAGCCCGTTCTCTCCCTGATAATGTATAAACAGTGGTCGTGTTGTTCTTACGGGGACGATTGTTTGGCAGCTAGATATTTCGTATTAATTATCTCTTATTAGACAAGAATTTTGCGTGAGACATCTAGCGGCCAAACTATCAGTCCCCCAAAGTATGTGATCTATACAATCACTGTTAATACATTATTTTGGAGAGAATGGGCTCTGGTTTAGGCTGATATTTTTTAGATATTAGCAGAGAAGAATCTTGCCAAGTTCCGAGATTATAATATGATTGATAATGCTCCTGAGGAGAGAAATAGAGGAATTACAATTAATGTCGCTCATATAGGTAACAAAACCTTGCTCAAGGTGCTTACACAACCTGGATTGAATCTTTTATAAAACGGGTTCTCTGAAAACCTAATACCATTAGTCCGTAGAGTTGTGAATGACCTGTTCTGTGAGTGCTAAGTCAGAGTTGCACTAGCATGAAAAGAATTTTATATTTGCAATCTTATTCTCAACCGTTCAACATCTAACCTGAAAGGAACTGACCAGCAATTTTTTTTTGAGAGAAGCTTTACTTGTGCAATTTTTTTATGTGAAAACTTTATTTTTGTATTTAATTAATAATTGTATATTGTACAGTAATTAGTGAAAAATGTAGTTAAAGCTGTTCCCCAGATGTAAATGAATTTGACCGACTTTTGGCAGCTCTCAACGGAAATATTTTTTCAAAGGATAATAAACTACGATTTACAAATCTACCCTCATGTAATCCAGAAAACTATTGACGGCAAAGGACGAGATTTTTACTGAAAAAAACATTGTTGACAATGGTGTGTCAGTTAAAAGATTGTTATTATTTTGTATTTACCCAATATTATGGTTTAGAATACGCAACAGAAAACCGGCACTACGCTCACACTGACTGCCCGGGACACGCAGATTTTATTAAAAACATGATAACAGGTATTTTTATTTATTACTTATCTTTTTATTTTTCTTCACCCCCCCCCCCCGCACATCGACCCAACACACAAAATTGAATTATAGTCGAAAAACCAGAGCGAAGATCCATTTCATTTTGATATGGATCCATATCCTGTATCCGCCCTAAAAAAATGGATTTGGATCCAGGTCATTAACACTGAAAAATGTTCAAACTTTTTCATTTCTTTTTTCTCTTTGTTTTATGATTAAACCATACGGAGATTGAAATGTTTTAATAACTCTTTAGTCAACAATTGAGTTTTGTTTTTGGAGGGCAACATTTTTTTGGGCATGATTCGGTTGATTTGCTCCTTGGATCCGTGGATCCGTATATTTTTGCGGATCCAAGGGAATCATGCAATTCATACTATTCGCCCAACCCATCACACAACTCTAGGCCCCCTACCCTGAGGCTCACATCTCATTATCTAATGGGGGTGCTGGCGGGTCGGGCTACACGTTTTTTCTAAGGTCACTTAGATGACAAATGAGTCCCTTCGTTGTAAATAAATAAATATGTAGGTGCAAGTCAGCTGGATGGAGCTATACTTGTTGTCGGAGCTACTGATGGTTGTATGCCTCAAACCCGTGAGCATCTTACTTTAACAAAACAGCTTGGACTCAAGCATCTCGTCGTATTTATTAACAAATGCGACGCCGCTGATGCCGAGATGATCGAGCTCGTCGAGATGGAGATCCGTGAGCTGCTGGAGGAGATGGGTTTTCCCGAAGAGAACTCACCGATCGTGAAGGGATCCGCACTCGCCGCCCTGGACGGGAGTAACGAAGAACTCGGTAAAAAAGCAATCGAGGAACTAATGAATGTAGTTGATACAAGTATTCCAACACCGGTCAGAGATCTCGATGTTCCGTTCTTGATGCCGATAGATCACGTACACGATATAAAGGGTCGAGGCTGTGTGCTCACTGGAAGATTAGAGCGCGGAAAGCTGAAGGTAAATTATCTTGTGATTATTAGATTCATTTTATATTCACATTCTTACAGATTAAACGGATTGGACAAAAGATGTTTGTTTTGTTTGTTCTTCAGAAATCAAATAATTTCTAGCTTTTGAGCCCAGATCGTCCTAAATTAACTGCTGTATTTAAGACGTACTTAGTATGTCTCCGTACTTTATAGTGTTCGTCCACTAGATGTCTCCCCAAGTATAGACTTCGGCACATTATCTAATTTTATTCTACTTCCCATTTGTTTTCGCCGACAGAGATCATACTAAGGACGTACATAGCCAGGGACGATGTTTGTAATTGTAATTTGTAATATCTGCCTTTACTTAAAAACTTTTTATAAAAATGGAAAATAGATTTTTGTTTTAAGGTTGGACAAGATATTGAGGTTATCGGATACTCCAAGTCTGGCAAGGGTAAGGTGACTGGTATTGAGAGTTTTCACAAGATCCTTGATGAAGCAAATGCTGGAGATCAGATGGGACTGCTAGCTCGAGGTATTAAGAAGGATGATGTTCGACGTGGTATGTGCGTCGCCAAACCTGGATCCATTAAACAATGTGATCATTTCAAAGCACAGGTTAGAATTGAAATTTTAGATAAAGATCAAATTTAGATTATACATTTATCTAAAAGGCATTTATTAATGAGTCAAATTATTTAACGGTTTTTAGAATTAAAACAGTAGTTTCTTAAATCTGGGTTTTGAAGATTTTTTTTAGCAAAACAAAACTTCTTCAAAATTTTAAATATTTTCCGGATTTCTTAATTTTAGGAGTTTGATCAAAAATCCTGTGAAATAGATTTTTTATGTCTATTTCGGGTTTAGTAAAGCCTAAAAAACGAATTTTATATTCAGATTTATTTGATGACACCTGAGGAGGGAGGAAGGAAGAAGCCTTGCACGACCGCCATGCAGCTGATGTGCTTCTCTAAGACCTGGGACTGCGCTGCATTTGTTGATCTGGTGGATAAAGAGATGGCTATGCCTGGAGAGGATGCAACCATGGATCTAAGATTAGTTAAACCTATGGTCCTGGAGGAGGGACAACAGTTTACTATCAGAGATTCAGCGGGAACAATTGGAACAGGTATACACCTAGACAGAGGGCCTTCATCTAATAATGCTTTAAACCTTCATCTAATAGTGCTTTAAACCTTCATCTAATAATGTTTTAAACCTTCATCAAATAATGTTGTAAACCTTCATCTAGTAATGCTTTAAACCTTCATCTAATAATGGTTTAAACCTTCATCCAATAATGTTGTAAACCTTCTTCTAAAATGCTTTAAACCTTCATCTAATAATGTTTTAAACCTTCATGCTTCCTTTCTAGCTAGCTGAGGTTACTGGTTGTCTATTTAAGATTATAATTATAAAAATAAAAAATTTTTCGGATAGTCATTTCAAAATCCAAATTACTTAAACAGTCCCTGTAAATTACGTCTTTTTACGCTTATACAGTGAAACCCTTAATAACGAATACATCGGAAGAATTTATCAAATGTCGTCTTGACCATTTTTCAATGAGTTTTATACTATATTACATAAATTTCAGTATTTGCGAAAATAAATAAATAGCCATGAATATGCGGGAACAGTTTTAAAGAGTTCCATATAAAAAAACTAAATATCTGCAACATTCTATTATCAGAAAGTGAAGAATACGACATTTGATGTATTCTTTTGATGTATTCGTTATTAAGGGTTTCACTGTATATATACACACCCCCACTCAGTCAGTAGAAGGTATCCTTGTGAATCGGTGATATCCCTTTTCAAATGAAAGGTCTTTTGAAATACGCTTACAGTCCCTTTAATACATGATTATATATTCCAGGACGGGTTACCAGTGTGTACAAGAACCTGACTGACGAGGACAAGGAGTTGATGATGATGAAGAAGGAGAAGAGAGCTAAGAAGCTTGGTCTAAACTAAGGAGCTAGATTGGATAGAGGACTATTATTTGTTTGTCCTGACAGATTCAACCTAGTTCACAGGAACACCTACATCTTGTTCAATAAAACAAATTTAAACAGTTTTTACTAATATTATTCACAAAATTTAAACCAGACAACTTGTTCTGAAATATTTTCTGCAGGGTTACTGAGTTACGCCTCTGAAGCCTGCACTAAAAAATTTCCTGAACCTCTGTATTGATCCTTATTTAAAAATGCCCCCGTTGGATATCTAAATCAAGCGTTTAAGATTAACATTATCAACACAAGTTATGATATTTGGATACATTGATTTAAAAAGTTAAATGAATTTCAATACAATTGACGTACAGTATTGTTAAATCTGCGAAGTGTAAAGCAGATTATCTCTAAGTTTTATCTCAAATCGCTCAGAATACTCTTAATACTCTTTTTATCTGTCTGAAACTTGTCATATCAGCCTCGTACATCTGTTTATATAAAGTTGTAATCTCTGTTTTTGTTTGTTTGTTTGAATGTCCGATCATAACTAAGGAACCTCTTAACCAATTTGTCTCAAATTTTGCGTGGGGAACTCGGTAGAACTACGGAAATGTTTTTGGCAATAAATGTAAGTTGAGCGGGTTGACTTTCTTAGAGTAAGCTTAGTTTCCAGGTAAAGCTGGGTTCCCAAGCCAGTTTCTTGTGACATTAAATATTTTTAAAAATTTTCTTCTTAGTCCTAAAAATCCCGATGATGTACGATGTGTGCTGTGCGGTAATGTTACATCGTCTGTACGCAACATCCCCCCTACTGAACTTCTGACCTACTGCAATATCGGACCTACGCCAGCTGATTTTTTTTTTATTATTTGAGGGTTAGGTGAAGAATATTTTTCTGGGGCGAGCGCTGCGATTAGGACAGGCTGGGGGGCCGGGCGCGCGACTAGAACAGGCTAGGGAGTCTGCGCTGTGGTTATAAGTCAATTAAGCATCTGTAAAACCACGTGCTAGTAGGTTGGATGTGTGAGATGTGTAGTATAGCGGAATTGACGGTCAGAGGTGAAGTATAGCGGATTTGCGTAGGTCGAAAGATACACCACCCTGTATTTCTGTCGTCTTTGTTTTCTTTCTGGCAGTCCATGCACAGCTGTTCGTAGGAGTGTACACACGTGTGTGTTTTTATTTCATCAGTCAGTTCTGAAACGAATAAATTAAACTTGTTTTGGGATTGTTGTTACTTCTAGAATCTTATAAAAGTACACATACTTACCCTCCTATCAATTTTGTACATTTACTTTTTTATTATTGAGGGTCAGGTTAAGACACTTTCTGGGTCGAGCCTGCGGCCACATGTCTTTCATTTAAGATCCATGTGCAAAATTGATAGGAGGAGGGGGGGAGGGGGGTCCAAAAATTGTTCTCTAGGAAATTCCCTACTAAGTTTATATCTGCTCTTAGTTTCGTAAATTACTCGCCCAGGTTTTTGGTACCTGTTCCGTCCAATCTGCATGCTTACCTTGGTTCGTCCTTGTTTTGTGTAATCTGAAATAGTGTTATTGTCATGATGATTTTAATCCATATTCAAACTCAAAATCAATTCAGATGCCGAGAGAATGAAGAAGAAAGTAGCCGCAGTAAAACCACCTACCGTTTCATGCGGAGAACACGAATTCTCTGATACGGATATTAGCAAATTTCGTTCCAGTCTTATCGAGTGGTATTTCAAGAATGGGAGATCCCTTCCTTGGAGGGATAGGGGCAGGGCAGAGAAGGATGACAACGTTCGAGGATATTCTATTTTAGTCTCCGAGATAATGCTTCAACAGACCCAGGTTGCTACAGTGATTGATTATTATAACAAGTGGATGAAACGTTGGCCGGATACAGCGTCCTTGAGTAAAACGAGCTTGGAGGAGATAAACCAGTGCTGGGCTGGACTAGGATACTACAGCAGGGCGAGAAGACTGTGGGAGAGTGCTAAGATGATAGAAGATGATATGAACGGAGTGATGCCACGAAGCTCAGGAGATCTTCAGAAACTGCCAGGAGTAGGACGATACACCGCCGCGGCGGTCTCCAGTATTGCTTATGGAGAGGTCACTGGTCTTGTGGATGGAAACGTTCTTAGAGTCCTGTCAAGGATGAGGACAATTGGAGCCGAGATAGATTCACCCGTTGCTGTAGACTGGATCTGGAAGTTGGCTGGTGATATAGTGGATCCGGAGAAACCTGGTGATTTCAACCAAGCTCTGATGGAGCTTGGAGCTACAGTCTGTTCTCCAAAAAATCCAAACTGTACCTCTTGTCCTGTTAAACAGGTTTGTAAAGCAGCTAAATCTATTCCTGACATTGAAGATTCGTGCCAACTCTGTCTCAAGGATCTTTATGATCCTAACCTTAAAGTTATGAATTTCCCTAGAAAGAGCAAGAAGGCTGCTAGTAGGGATGAAACCACACTGGTCTTGGCCTTGACAAGAGACGAGAATGGAGAAAAAACTTTTGCTGTACAAAGGAGACCAGAGACGGGACTGCTGGCAAACCTCTGGGAACTTCTTTCTGTTCCATCCCAGCAGGGTTCCACGGGAGAGGAGGAGAAAACAACCATTCAATCTTTCCTGGAGGAGAGAAAACTTCTTTACTCAGGGTTGAAGAGAAAAGGAGAAGTTTCTCATGTGTTCTCTCACATCAACATGACCTATGTTGTATACTCGGCTACCAGTACTGGAGAAGATTCTCTGGAATATCTCAGTTCTAAAGAGTTCCTGGAAAAAGGAACCTCGACCGCTATGAAGAAAGTTGTCAAATTTCTAGAAAATAAACCGGAGCAAAAGAAACGGAAAAGCGAAGCAGGAACTCCGGATCCAAAGCAGCGTTCTATAAATTCATTCTTTAAACCTAAACCCCAAAAGTGACTTCTGAGTTTTAAATTACAAAGTACAAAATGTTAATTATTTTTTACTATGCATGAATGATCTAATTTTTAAGGTCTGACAGATTCAATAATCACATTATTTTCAGAATGTCGAATGATGGACAGTTCGAAGATGCCCCAATCGAATATATCGGTCTCAAGTTTGAAAAAGAAATGAAACTCGAGGAAGACATCGTCGACGATGTTGATTCAGATTTCAGCGATGAAGGATATGACGAGGAGTTTCAAGTGCGTGGCGCAGGTAGGGCTGGAGGCGGAAACATGATACTCCAGTCCTCCGCCGTGAACGTCAAGAGTTTTCAACCAACTGAGAAACTATTTAAGAAGTTTGTGAATAAGATCAATGTTGATAAATACGAGGGACCAGCGCTAAGTATCCTTCAAGAACAAAATAAGAAGAATGATAAGGTAATTTAATATATTAGAACAAATATTTTTTTTAAAAAGTAACAAATAGACCAGTGGTAAGAATTAAAAAAAATAAGATTTCAAAGGATGTGAGGGGTGCAAAGTTTTCCCCTGTTTGGTACTTACTACTACCTTAGAAATAATTTACGTCTCATGAAATCCTTTATATATTTTCTCTTATTGAGCAACAAAGAAAAAAACAAAAAATTCTTAAGAAAGGGAAAATTCAAGACAATATTTAGTATACCTCTGATAAAATTGAAATCACCATTTTATTTGGTATCTTAATTTAAGAAATATTGAGGGGAGGGAGATTTTGATGCATTTGGCAAGCTTTTGTCCCCATAAAAATTTATTTAGTTAAATTTAACTCTCAAAAAATATTAGAAAATTTTTAAATATAAACGAATCACTGCAGGGTTCTTTGGATTTTTTTCCCTATTTTTCTTATCATTTTATTTCTTTTTCGGCTTGTTAAAACCAAATCTAAGATATCACGAAAGATTTTATGATATTCTCACTCCTCCGTACTTAATAATTTTTAATTAAATTGTTTGTCTAGGACCGACATAGAGTTAAAGATGACTCCGACAGAGCTACAGTTGAACAGGTTATGGATCCCAGGACGAGAATGATCCTGTTCAAACTCCTCAACCGAGGTTTCATCTCAGAAATCGATGGATGTATTTCTACCGGGAAGGAAGCAAATGTGTACCACTGCACCAATAGCGAAGGGAAGAGCAGAGCTATTAAGATTTATAAAACTAGTATTCTAGTTTTCAAGGACAGAGATAAATATGTGAGCGGAGAGTTCCGGTTCAGACAAGGATACGGAAGGAAGAATCCACGTAAGATGGTGAAAACTTGGGCGGAGAAGGAGATGAGAAACCTGACCAGGATTCACAAGGCGGGGATAGCCTGTCCCGAACCCATTCTTCTCCGCTCCCATGTTTTACTCATGGACTTTCTAGGCACGGACGGTTGGCCGGCACCTAGGCTTAAGGACAAGGAGATATCGGAGTCAAAAGCGAGAGAGTTGTACCGCGACATCATTCTCACCACCAGGAAAATGTTTCACGAGTGTAAACTAGTACACGGAGATCTATCCGAGTTCAACCTGCTCTACCACGAAGGGAAAGCGTACTTTATCGACGTCTCTCAGTCCGTGGAGCACGATCATCCTCACGCTCTGGAGTTCCTGAGAAAAGATTTGACTAATGTGAATGAGTTCTTCAGAAGGAAAGGTGTAGCAGTTCTTGGATTAAAGGTAATTTGTTTATTTATTTTAAAATAAACAATAGCCCAAGTATTAATCCAGCATCACAAATAAGCAAATTTTTCCAGTTAAATATGCTCCTGAGTATCAGAATGTACCCAATTCTTTGCCTCTCACTAAATCGTGGTTTGTGGTGAATAACGCGGTTTTTTTCAATTTTTATACCAAGAAATTCATGAAAAGCAAGTTTTTATTTGCACTTAAAGATCGCACAAGCTGAAAGCCAATTTTTTGCGAAAATCTGTTTTCGGGTGAACCCTTCTACATTGATAAGATTACTCCTTGGCTGTAGACATTAGCGCAACTTTTTCTAACTTATGTGGAAATTAATGTGATTAAGGATTCCGAAAGCCAAGCTTAAACCTTTTTTTCATTAAAAATTATTACGTTGATGCTGTAGGAGTTGTTTGACTGGGTTGTTAGTCCAACTGGAGATAGTGGTGAGGCTGCACTTGACCTCCTTGCTGAGGTCGCTGCCGGAAGGTCGGAGGCTGAGAGGTCAGCCCAGCAGCAGGTGGATGAGGAGGTCTTCAAACAAGTTTTCATTCCTCGACGTTTAAACGAGGTGTTAAGGTAAGATACCCATCAATTGATATGTCTGAAGGAGGAATGCGTTTCATTTGATAATTAAACTTGAAAATTGACACAAGTATGGTCTTTCGTAGGTTTTAATTGGACTTTAATAAAATAATTTCCCTTAATGGAATTTTGTTTAATACAATTGGCACGAAATTACGCAATCCCATCCCAAGAGTTGCTTGGCCGATTTTGATTTGTTACGCGAGTTTTGGGATTTAAATATTGGTATTTTTTTGTTTTATTATAATTTTGTATTTAGTCCTGAGACTGACCAGAATAAAATTGCAACCGGAGGAGACGATTCTGTACAATACCAGTCCGTCATCGGACTAGACCTACCCAAACCTCTACAGGACGAACACAGTGAGGACGAGTGTAGTGAAGACGATGAAAGCAATGACGGTGATTACTCCTGCGAGGACGAGGCGGAATCTACTAAAGGGTTTAAAAGCTCCCGGCGTCCAAGGGACGAGGATAAAGACAGTAAGAAAGAAAGAAAACAGGCAGTAAAGGACGCCAAGGCTGAGAAACGAAAGGATAAAGTGAAGAAACATGTTAAAAAGAAGAAGGAGCAGGCAGGACGGAGTAACACTAAAAAGTAAAAATATGTAATTTTCTATTTCTAAATTTTCCAGACTAAAAATGGGAGATGAGCTGGTCCCCATGTTTATGAAGATAGGGTTGACGGAGCAGAAGGCGAAGGAGACCGCTAAGAACAAGAACCTCTCTAAGGTCCTAAGCAGTGTGGTGAATGATGCCTCCAAGGAGAGCAAAGACCTGACTAGTTATGGAACCCTGCTCTACCATGTCGCTTCTAAAATTAAACCTCAGGTGTTCCACTTTACCCCTCTTCTAGTCAAGTATATCTGTTCCGGGAAAATCGACAGTGAGCTCCGGCTCAATGCCGCCATAGATTTCCTGGCTAAATGTCCTCCAGGAAAATCTATTGAGAGTTTAGATATTTCCAGTTTCGAGGATTCTTGTGGAGTTGGTGTAGTGGTGACTCCAGCTCAGATTGAAGAGGCTGTTGAAGCAGAACTCGCCAAGGTAGGATTATTAAAAAAAAATAAACTTAACAATTCGTTTAACATGTGTTTTTTTGGTAGCAGTTTTTGCATTGTCGAGAGAAAAAAATTATTAGGACAAAGAGGGGTGGGGTCGTTCTATTGAACTATATAATCATTAATCAGGGTGGGCAAAATGTACGGATTTTTTATAACCCTAAAATTGTACGGATTTACAGCTTTTTAAAGACCCATTTCAGAAAATTTTGAATGAAACCTTTAAAAAAAAAAATCTCGTCAAAATGAAGTAAGTTTAACTAATTTTCTGTATTCTAAATAGTATTATGTTGATTGTTGATTCATTTGACAATCAAAATTCATTCATGATTTTTTGAGAAAATTGATTTTTGATAAATAATGAGTTCTTTATAAAGCTTAAACAAACTAGGAAACCCATCCCAATGAATAGAAGTAAAAGGCTGAATTCCATAATTATAGATTTTTAGATTTTAATTGTGTATTTATCCTTTTTCTCCCCTCATTCTCATCCTAATTTACTTGTTTTTCCTCTCATTCTCATCCTAATTTACTTGCTTCTCCTCTTGTTCTCATCCTAATTTACTTGTTTCTCCTCTATCCTCTTGTTAATGTTATAAATTAAGTTTGACCGGATGTTTTGTTTTTCATCCCAAATTCTGGTATTCATTTCCCAGCTCAATTTGGAAAACCTAGAAACCTGTTAAAAGCTGGATATTTAAAAATCTAACCATGTTGTTTACAGGTAAAGGAGGAGTTATTGGAGAAGAGATATAGATTCAACTCTGGTATTCTAATGGGAAACGTGAGAAACAAGCTGAAATGGGCGGACGGAAAAGCAATCAAGAGCGAGACAGATATGCAGATACTGGATATCCTTGGACCCAAGACTGATGAAGATCTGGCCCCAGTAAAGAAACAGAAAGCTCCAGGTACACTCAAAATTATCAAGATGTGGAACATTATAAACCTAATTTGAAGTGACCCGCCATTTTCAACGTTGCATGTCCGATTCACATTATTACTCTTTAAAACTCTGTAAGACCAAAGATGATGTAATCAATCTTATTCGTTATCCTGAAATAAGTCCCCGGAGAGTCCAGGTTACAGTTTACACTCGATGGTTGAATACATTCGTGGTTTTCCGGATATTCATTTTTAGCTTTAAAATAAGATTTTCGAAACAATCCTTGATCAGATAAAGGTATACATACAGGGTACCGTTGCGAATCGAACATGAAATGGAGAACCACTTGAAATTACGTCTACAGCTTCTTTATGTTAAATTTTTTCAGCTGTTAAAGAAGATAAGAAGACGACTAAAAAAGAAGAGAAGGAAGATGAAGAAACTGAAGGAGCTGCAACTATTGCTGAACTCATGAAGAACAAGGTTCACTTCCATGCTACCGGAATGAACCATACTACGGACGGATACCAAGTTACTCCGGACACTGACCGACTTCTCCGTGAGCATCTGGAGAGAACTGGCGGTCAGGTTAGAACTAGGTTTCCTCCAGAACCCAACGGTATTCTTCACATTGGTCACGCTAAAGCAATTAATATTAACTTCGGTTATGCTAAAGCTTACGACGGAATAACCTTTCTCCGGTATGATGATACAAACCCGGAGAAAGAAGAGGAGAAGTTCTTCACTGGAATCCTTGATATGGTAACTTGGCTTGGATACAAACCTTATCAGATTACTCATTCCTCAGATTATTTTGACAAACTGTACAACATGGCGGTTCATTTGATAAAAAAAGATCTGGCTTATGTGTGTCATCAGAAACTGGAAGATATTCGAGGCTTTAACCCTCCTCCGTCTCCATATAGAACCCGTCCTATCCAAGAATCTCTCTCTCTCTTCAAGGATATGAAGAACGGAAAATTTGACGAAGGCGAGGCGACACTGAGGATGAAGATAACCCTGGAGGAGGGTAAACAGGACCCAGTTGCGTACAGAATTAAATATGTCGCTCATCATCGAACTGGAGACACTTGGTGTATCTATCCTACCTACGACTATACTCACTGTCTCTGTGACAGTATAGAAGATATAACACACTCCCTATGTACAAAAGAGTTCCAGGCCCGCCGGTCTTCCTACTACTGGCTCTGTAACGCTGTTGATATCTACTGCCCTGTACAGTGGGAGTACGGTAGACTTAGCGTCAACTACACTGTTGTCAGCAAACGAAAGATCAGTAAGTTGATTGAGACTGGTGTAGTATCAGACTGGGATGATCCAAGATTGTTTACTTTAACCGCTCTCCGGCGCCGTGGATTCCCCGCCGAAGCGATCAATAACTTCTGTGCCAAGATGGGTGTGACCGGGGCTTTGACGGCGGTAGACCCAGCAATGTTGGACGCCGCGGTCAGAGATCATCTCAACGTTTCAGCTCCGAGAACCATGGTTGTTCTTGAACCTCTCCGGGTTACTATTCTCAACCTGGATAAAGACGAAGAAATAGAAATACCCAACTTCCCGAACGACCCGGAGAAAGGTGTTCATAAGGTTAAATTCTCTTCTAAAAATATCTTTATTGAGAGTTCTGACTTTAAGAAAACTGATGAGAAAGGATTCCGACGCTTATCTCCTGGACAATCTGTAGGTTTAAGATACTCCGGGTATGTGATAACATTGGTAGAAGCGGTGGAAACCAATGGACAGGTAGAAATACTGAATCCCTTAAATTTTGTAATTAACGAATTATTTAAATCTTGATGCAGAATTTTGACAAGTATTTTCTAGGTTACCGAGTTGAAGGTTAATGCAGTACCTGTTGGAGATGCAGAGAAGCCCAAAGCTTTTATTCATTGGGTCAGCTCACCCATAGATATTGAGGTAAAGGGTCATTTTTCTCCTTAGAAAGTTTATCATAATGGCTCCAATGTACAGAGACGGTGCTTATTCCGTTCAGTCGTCTCTGAAGTCGCATTGTTTGTGGGTGACCCTGTAGTTCTGAACAATCATTAAATTTGTTTCTCTAGGTTCGAGTTTACGACCGGTTGTTTAAACACAAGAATCCCGAGGATTCTGCGGAGGTTCCTGGAGGATTTCTCTCCGATGTTAAATCTAATACACTTGAAATCAAGAACGCAAAGGCTGATAGATATCTAAGTGACGTCAAGGTTTGTTTTGTAACTGATTATACATATTAGACGTGTTTCTCTTAGATATATGTTCATACGTTAGCTTGGGAACTCTGTTTTATAACTGATTATACATATTAGACGTGTTTCTCTTAGATATATGTTGATACTATAGCTTATAACTGATTATACATATTAGACGTGTTTCTCTTAGATATATGTGCATACTATAGCTTGGGAACTCTGTTTTATAACTGATTATACATATTAGACGTGTTTCTCTTAGATATATGTGCATACTATAGCTTGGGAACTCTGTTTTATAACTGATTATACATATTAGACGTTTTTCTATTAGATATATGTTCATACTATAGCTTGGGAACTCTGTTTTGTAACTGATTATACATATTAGACGTGTTTCTCTTAGATATATGTGCATACTATAGCTTGGGAACTCTGTTTTATAACTGATTATGCATATTAGACGTGTTTCTATTAGATATATGTTCATACTATAGCTTTGGAACTCTGTTTTATAACTGATTATACATATTAGACGTGAATACTATAGCTTGGGAACTCTGTTTTGTCTGGAAATTAAATACTATAGCTTGGGAACTCTGTTTTGTCTGGAAATTAAACTAATAAAAGTCAACCCACTTGATTTGATTTGATAATCAAGATATGAACATTTCTGTGGTTCTATCCAGTTTACCAAAAAAATTGAGTCAAATCGGTCCAGGGGTTCATGAGCTTTGATCTGACATACAAACAGAGATTACTACTAGATACAATATACTTAATACTAAAATATCTATAAGCTATTGAATTAAAATCAATTCTCGGTCCCCATCATGATAAAACGTTGGATTTCATAAAAGACAAAATATAGTTGCAATATTTCTTTTTTTTATTCTAGGTGTACGACAGGTTTCAGTTCGAGCGGAATGGATTCTATACTGTAGACCGGGATACAACCAAGAGCAAGATTGTTTTTAACCTCACGGTCGGGCTTAAGGAGGACGCCGGGAAGTAGATCTCCTTCCTTCACTACTTCAAGATGAAGAACCTGATCTTTAAATTTTTAAAACTCTTGAAATCTTTAATGATACAAGAACTGGTGCTCAAGCCTCACTTAGATTAAAAGAAATTTTTTCTTTTAAAATCTTTTTCTGCTTTTTTACATTTTTTCCGCTGCTATAGATAAATGAATTGAGCCGTTGTCACAAACTGCAATCCCTATATCTTTGCAGCCTGATGGTGTAAACCTATGATATTTCAAATTTAAACTGCTTGATCTAACAGAAGTCATAGTTTTAAATATCTTAGGTATACAAAATTGGGTCGTAAAGATAAAGAGATTTAAAAATCAGAGTTTGTGACAACGGCTTAATTCCTAAAGTTGATTTATCCCTTTCTCTATTTCATCTCATCTCCCAGTCCACGAACGTGAATCTTGTTAACCAAGTTTTGGATGAAATGATCATGTATCAATATAAATATAATCTAAAGGATTCACTGCACGGGACCTCCAGATTCCAAAATCTAAGCTTATAACGAAATTCTAGAACTTGAATGTTATGTTATTGTTTTATGTACTTAAACTTTATTATAAGCTTCCAATTTCAAGCAGGTATTACATATAATGGTTTATATTTTTAAGCATTTTTAATTATTATAAATTACGATGAATGATTTATGATGAATCATGGATCATGAATGACAATTCATGGATGATGGATGATGGATAATGGACATTGGACAATGGACGTTGAGGATATATGATACATAATGGATGATTATTCGATGAGTGATATATCATAAAAGATGTGAGAACATGATGGATGATGGATGATGGATGATGAATGATGAATGATGAATGATGTATGATGTATGATGTATGATGTATGATGTATGATGTATGATGTATGATGATGACGGATTATTCGATGAAGGAGTATTCGATGAAGGATTTTTAGATAAATGATTAATCGTTGAATGATTATTCGATGGATGATGGATAACATCATGAACCATCAATGATGAAAGATTTGAGAAGATGATGGATGATTATATTAGAGAAGGCTATTTAAAATTTTAAGAGAAGATGATTAAAAGTCTGAGAATACAATTAATGGATTGAGAAGATTATGATTGATTTGAGAAGAAGATTGAAGATTTGAGAAGATGGTTAATGGTTAAAGAAGAAGATTAAATATTTTAGAAGATGATAAATGGTTGAAGACTGCTATTTAAAATTTTGAGAAGATGATTAAGAGTCTGAGAATACGATTAATGGATTGAGAAGATTATGATTGATTTGAAAAGATGATTAATGATTTGTGAAGATGATAAAATTTTTGGAATGAAGATGAATAATTTTTCAAGACGACTATTTAAATTTGAGAATACGATTGAAGATTTGAGACGACGTTAAAAGGGTTTAGTAGCTCATAAAGAATTTTAGAAGATTAATTTGAGATGTTGAATGAGTCCAGAGGTTTACTGATTTGAGAAAATAATTATTTATTTGTGAAGATGAGTAAGGATTAAGGATTTGTGAACATGATTAAAATTTAAAAAAAAATCTTGGAAATGATATGAGAAAATAATTAAGGAGTTGGGAAGATACTTATCGATTAGAGAAGACTATTTAAAAACTTTAGAGGAAGATTAATGATTAAAGAAGATGATAATGATTTGAGAAGATTATGATTATTGATAAGATGAAAATAATATGAGAAGTCAATAAAAGATTAATTAAGGTTTAAGAACATAAATTAAGATTTGAGTAGATAATTTAAAAGATGAGAAGATGATTTAAGAGATGAGAAGATGAGTTGAGAGATGAGAAGATGATTTAAGATATGAGGGAGAAGATGATTTAAGATATGAGGAGAAGATTATTTAAGATCTGAGGAAAAGATGATTTAAGAGATGAGAAGATGATTTAAGAAATGAGAAGATGATTTAAGAAATGAGAAGATGATTTAAGAAATGAGAAGATGATTTAAGAAATGAGAAGATGATTTAAGAGATGAGAAGATGATTTAAGATATGAGGAGAAGATGATTTAAGATATGAGGAGAAGATGATTTAAGGTATGAGGAGAAGATGATTTAAGATATGAGGAGAAGATTATTTAAGATATGAGGAGAAGATGATTTAAGATATGAGGAGAAGATGATTTAAGATACGAGGAGAAGATATTTAAGATATGAGCAGAAGATGGTTTAAGATACGAGGAGAAGATGATTTAAGATATGAGGAGAAGATATTTAAGATATGAGCAGAAGATGATTTAAGATACGAGGAGAAGATGATTTAAGATATGAGGAGAAGATGATTAAAGATATGAGGAGAAGATGATTTAAGAAATGAGAAGATGATTTAAGAAATGAGAAGATGATTAAGAGATGAGAAGATGCTTTAAGAGATGAGAAGATGATTTAAGATATGAGGAGAAGATGATTTAAGATATGAGGAGAAGATGATTTAAGATATGAGAAGATATGAGGAGAAGATGATTTAAAAGATGAGAAGATGAGATAAGAAATGAGAAGATGATTTAAGAGATGAGAAGATGATTTATGAGATGATAAGATGAATAATGCGATGAGGAGATAATTAAAGTTATAAGAAGATAATTAAACTTGTAAGAAGAGAATTGAAGAGATGAGAAGATAAATAAAGTTATAAGAAGATAGTTGAAGCGATGAGATGATAATTAAAATTATAAGAAGATAATTAAAGAAATGAAAAGATAATTAAAGTTGTAAGAAGATAATCAAAGTTGTAAGAAGAGAATTAAAGAGATGAGAAGATAAATAAAGATATAAGAAAATAGTTAACGAGATGAGAAGATAATTAAAGAGATGATAAGATAATTAAAGAGTTGAAAAGATAGTTAACGAGATGAGAAGATAATTTAAGAGATGAGAAGATAATTAACGGGTTAGAAGATATTAAAAGAGTTAAGAAGTTGACTTCAGAGATGAGGCGAAAAATTAACAAGTGAGAAGATAATAAAGAGGTAAGAAGATAATTTACGAGATCAGAAAATGTCTGAAACGATGATAAAAAGATGAGAAAATATTTAAAGAGTAAGGAAGATGATTTATGAGATAAGAAGATAATTAAAGAGATCCAAAACGATTAACAATCCTTGACAATTAAAACATCGACTATTGTGATAAAATATATTTTGCCCATTATTTTCTATTAAAACTGATCATATAGATATGAACTGAAAATAAAGATAACTTTCTGATGGCAACACCTTATGAGTCAAATATCACCCAAATTTGGGTTTGGAACTTCCTTGTAAACAAAGATTTGAATTGGGATTGGAATTATCCTTCAGTCTGAAATAAATTCTTAATAATTCATTCTCAAACTAAAATATAAAATAAAAGGAAAAACAAAAATATATCTTCAGAATAATAAAATGGGTCTTGAAACTGATGTGGTGACGAGCAGACTTGAAGAAGGTTTTCATTCTCCTCCTGCAGAACCCTGCTCTGTTACAGGAACTGCTTGCGAAATATTAAAGTCATGGTCTTGTGAAGCTTTCGTGCATTAAATTCTTAAATAATCACTTCAAAAGTCGAAATTTATTGAAAAATTAAATGATTTTTAACCTGTATAAAAAATACTATAAAAGCCCCAAATTTTAGATAATTAAGTGTCTTCAGTCTGCTTTAGACACAAAAGATTGTTATGAACACCCAGAAACTAGAATATTATTCCTGATATTGAACTTAAGATAAGACCACAAAAAGTTTTGGTTTTCTATCTTACAATAGTGAAAAGAAATTGCTTAACATATTAATAATTTTTTCTGAAAATTTTATGAAAATATCGCTAACAGTCATTTTGATGAAGGAAAAACCCAGGAGATTTCTCTGAATGTTGACATTGCCTTGACTGAATCCAACCCTCTTAGTCATCTTCAAAATCTAACTGAGCCAAGTGATGGTCAAGACGATATTAAACCTGGTGAGTTCGTGAATATGAGGATGCAATTGACAGAAGACGACTCTGATGACAAAACTAAGGCTATTGACATCGGAAGGGAATTTGGTGAAGATGAAGTTAAGGATGGAGAAATCAGTGGAGAGGATGAAAATGATACTGGTGCAATCGGAGAAAGCAGCGAGTTCCACGAGTATGACGATGTATGTGTTAAAGACGAAAGCGATGATAATGATAGCAGCGAGGATGAAACTGAGTCTGATGACAGCGTAGCGAATAGCGAGGATAAAGATGAGGATGATTCTAATGATGATTCCAAAGATGTTGTCGAAACAACTGGAACCATCATGAACATAGTTAAAGGTTCTGATACTGTTCCTTGTAAGACGGCAAAAGATTACAAGGCTCGTATTAGATTCCTGGAAGAACAATGTCGAAACGCTATTCAAGAACGAGAAAACAAGTTACGCCAAAGAGAAGAGATCTTGCTACTGAAAGATAAATCATTGAGAATAAGGGAAGAATTTTTGGAGCTCAAGGTGACACGCTTTAGACTGGAATCTCAGAAAGAATTGAATTCTGGAAATCAATTTGTGAACTCGAGTATAACCTCTAACCGTCGTGGAAAAAGGTCTAACAACAACATGTCCAAGAGGAAGATCACATTGTCCACGCATGACCAAAAAATAGGGGAAGATGGTGACCAGATCGAAGGAGATCAAGTGAGTGCTGATAAAGGCCCAGACATGAACACGGAAGATGATAATGTGGAGGAGGACGAAGATCTAATTCATTCCAGTATAAAGAAGTTGAGAATGGATCCTGCCGAAGAAGGAGAGATGTATTAAAATCCCATTTCAGCATATTCAATCTTTGTTAATAATTTAATATTCATTGCTGCTTAGTTTAATCTGATTTCATTTAAACTATTTTTAATCAGCAGCTCATATTCTTGTTCAGGTGATAGTTTCAAGTTTGATATTTGCCTGATAATCCAATATTTTTTCTTCAAACTAGCTAAAGTTGATATTCTATGTTGCATTATACTAAGCTTGAAAATTCCAGCTCCAATTAATAATTTTATTAATTGTACATATTTGGTTGGCACCCATTAATAACTTTATTAAATCTCCAGTTTATAATCTATGTTGCATTTTACAAAGCTTGAAAATCTCAGGATAATTTGATATTTTCAAGGGGGGGCTTTCTGACTTCGTTTTTAGAGATTTCTCTCTGATTTTTTGCATGCAGGCCTGAATTGTGATCTAGTTTTTTAATCAAACACCAAAGTGGGGAAAAAATAATTTTCCCCCTCATTTTTCCCGCATTTTTCCTGCATTTTTTCAAAAACTTTGTGATAGGTCCAGGTTCTGACTTTATTAGTAGAGATATCTCTATGATTTTTTGCATGCAGACCTGAATTGTGATCTAGTTTTGAATCAAACCACATAATGTAGGGAAAAATTTGTTTTCCCGCATTTTTAAGCTTTTTTTTTAAACTTTGTGATAAGTCCATGTTTACCTCACTGCAAGTAATTCTTTTTTAGTACTAAATGTTATATATAATTTTATAAACAATTAAATATTGATGTTTTTAATTAATTTTTGATAAGTGTGTATGATTTATATAGTTCATTAATCTATTTTTTCAAAGTTTACAAATGTTCTATAATAATCCTTTTTATTCTATGCTCAGTGATTCATCATCTAACTTAAATGTAATATCATACTGTAGATAAATTATTATCATATTTTTTAAGAATGGTTTTCTCAGTTATTTATATGTTTAATCTTTTGAATATTATTATATGTATATCATGATTTTTTAAGAATGGAAATAATTCCAATATTTTTTGTTGTTGTTGTAAAATTGGAAATCCGCAAAACCTATTTGGTAAAATCTACAAATCTTCTAAACATGATCTACTGAGTACGAAAAAGGGTAAAATTGCAACTGATGATTATTAATAAAGGGTTAATAAAGTTTTCTATTGTTGTATCTAAAAATTAGAGTTTTCCTTCATACTTTGCCTTTGTTCCATGTCTAAATAATTTCTTTTTCGAAACATTTTCGTATTTGATTTTATTCGCCATGCGAATTTATAGCAGAACAAAGGCAACGTATGAAGGAAACTCCTATTTTAAGATACAACCATAGAAAACTTATTTAAACATTTAAAAACTTTGAAAAAATAGATTAATGAACTATATAAATCATACACACATTAAAAAAATATATTAAAAACATCAATATTTAATTGTGGGAAAAATAAGAGGGGAAATTATTTTTCCTACATTTTGTTGTTTGATTCAAAAACTAGATCACAATTCAAGTCTGCATGCAAAAAATCAGAGAGAAATCTCTAGTTACAAAGTCAGAAGGNACTTTCCTGTAAATTAGTTGTAAATAATTATTGTTAAAAAATATACACATTTGCATAGAGAAATAATGCCAGACCAGGAAGAGAGAAGAGCTGAGAGAATCTTGAAAAGGTTGGAGGAGGAGATAATGTGCCCAGTCTGTCTAGTTACTCCGACCTCAACTAGAATACCAATCTGTAGGAATGGGCATATCACCTGCTATCCATGTAAGAGGTATCTTACAACATATTCCATCTGTAGACTGTTTTCAACCAAATATTAAGTTTAAATTGTTTGTTACCTATTCTCTTGTGTATTCCATTTCTTGGTCAATTCTAAAAAGTCTTCGGTAACAAATTTAAAAAATGGTTCATTAAACATGTGATTAACTTTTATGCAAATCTTAGCTTGTGACACATGCTTAATGCTTATACACACATTGGTTTAAAGGACTTATTTATTAGGTAATAGTTATTCCGTAGCAAGTTATTAAATAATAGTTATTCAGTAGCTAGTTATTAAATAATAGTTATTCAGTAGCTAGTTATTAAATAAGTTTGGACTGTCTCTGACTTGTATGACCATGAAATATGTATTCCAAAAAAGTGTTACAATCAAAAATGCCTTTTCTACAAAACATCTAAAATAAGTATAATGTATTTCCTCTCATATTTAGGCCCACCTGTCCAGTGTGTAGAGTTCAGATGATTCCTGAAATGTATTCTATCCTGGCTCAAAATATATCTCAACTACTCCAGCATCCAGATCAGTATACTTGCAGTAATACAGCTACGGGATGCACTTGGACTGGATCAAAGAGCAATGTACGAATTCATCTTGAAACCCAGTGCAAATACTACACATGTAATCATAAAGATAGAGGATGCACTTGGACTGGATTAAAGAGCAATGTACCAGTTCATATTGAAACCCAGTGTAATTACTATTCATGTGACAATAAAGATTCTGGATGCAGGTGGACTGGAGACCAGAGAGATCTAAAGTATCATATGGAAAATGAGTGTAATACTATTCATGTGACAATAAAGATTCTGGATGCAGGTGGACTGGAAACAAGAAAATGAGTGTAATTACTATTCATGTGACAATAAAGATTCTGGATGCAGGTGGACTGGAGACAAGAGAGATCTAAAGTATCATATGGAACATGAGTGTAATTACTATTCATGTGACAATAGAGATTCTGGATGCAGGTGGACTGGAGACAAGAGAGATCTAAAGTATCATATGGAAAATGAGTGTAATTACTATTCATGTGACAATAAAGATTCTGAATGCAGGTGGACTGGAGACAAGAGAGATCTAAAGTATCATATGGAACATGAGTGTAATTACTATTCATGTGACAATAAAGATTCTGGATGCAGGTGGACTGGAAAGATCTAAAGTATCATATGGAACATGAGTGTTATTACTAACCATGTGACAATGAAGGAACATATCAAATATCAATTAGATGTCCAGACACTTGTAAAAACTCCAACAATAACATAAATATGTCCAAGAGAGAGAACACCAAGTTCAACACAAAGAAGTTCTGAATAGTCTAAGGAGGAGGAGAGATGTCTTAGCATTCATTTACGTCATAACTTTCATTTTTTTAACTTCTTAATAGATAATATATTTTCTGATTTTCTGTTATATAATCTTCAACTTCATTTTTAGTTTCCTGCTGATTTTATCTTTTTTTCAGTCCTGAGCTGATTTTCTCTATTTCAACAGATGTTCTGAAAAATTCTGATTTCAATTTTCAATTTTTATTCTGATGTTTGATTTTCAGCTGAAATTCTCATGATATGTCTAATATTCCCATTTAAGACTATTTGTTTTTCAGATATATTGAAATGCTTAATAAGGAACTGTTTGCGAGTTACTGTGTTAATGATAGAGAAAAGACGACATTTAGTACAATCTGAATGCATACAAAAATCTTCATTTTTTATGTAAGGTTGATTGATTTATGAACAAAGTTAATTCTGCATTTTGATTTACTGACTATTTGAAAGCCTTAAAATTATCTTCATCCATTGTTTAAAAATTTAAAAATTTCAGTTCTTTTCTTATTTATGTCTAACATTGAATGCTATTCAAAGTATTTTATAAGTAAAAATCTTTCCATTTTCTAATACTTTAGATTATGAATGTTAATTTAAATTTGTGTCTTTCTTTCTGTTGAAATTATGCCTGCTACTTTTGCTTGGTCTACACATACCTACATGTGTTAAATTTGTTTGAAGATGGTATAAAATAAATTTTTTTCTACAAATTCAGAATTCAAATTCGAGGTTCTGCATTCTGGATCAGGATCCCTATGTTCTGCATTCTGGATCAGGATCCCTAGGTTCTGCATTCTGGATCAGGATCCCTAGGTTCTGCATTCTGGACCAGGATCCATAGGTTCTACATTCTGGATCAGGATCCCTATGTTGCATTCTGGATCAGAATACTGAGGTTCTGCATTTTGTACCAGGATCTGGAGGCTCTGTATTCTGGATCAGAATCCCAAGTTTCTGCATTCTTTATCAGGATAGCTTGGTTCTGCATTCTTTATCAGGATCGCTTGGTTCTGCATTCTGGATCAGGATCCCTAGGTTCTGCATTCTGGATCAGGATCCCTATGTTCTGCATTCTGGATCAGGATCCATAGGTTCTACATTCTGGATCAGGATCCTAAGGTTTTGCATTCTGGATCAGAATACTGAGGTTCTGCATTTTGTACCAGGATCTGGAGGCTCTGTATTCTGGATCAGAATCCCAAGTTTCTGCATTCTTTATCAGGATAGCTTGGTTCTGCATTCTTTATCAGGATCGCTTGGTTCTGCATTGTGGCAAAGGATTCCAAGGTTCTGCATTCTTAATTAGGATCACTTTGTTCTCCATTCTGGGTCAGGATCCCAAGGTTCTTTATTCTTTATCCGGATTCTTTGGTTCTGCATTCTGGATCAGGATCCTAATGTTATGTAAAAGGATCAGAGGTTCTGCATTCTGTTTCAGGATCACTTTGTTCTGCATTCTGGATCAAGATCCCAAGGTTATGCATTCTTTATCCGGATTCCTTGGTTTTGCATTCTGGATCAGGATCCCTTGGTTCTGCAGTCTGGATCAGGAAATGAGGTTCTGCATTCTGTTTCAGAATACCAAGGTTCTACATTCTGTTAAAGGATCCAAAGGCTCGTATACAATCTGTTTCAGGATCCCAAGGTTCTGCATTCTTTTCAGGATCCCAGGATTTACATTCTGTTTTAGGATCCCAAGGTTCTGCATTCTTTATCCGATTTCTTAGTTCTGCATTCTGGATCAGGAACTGAGGTTCTGCATTCTGCTCCAGAATCCCAAGGTTCTTCATTCTGTTTCAAGATCCCAAGACTCTACATTCTGTTTCAGGATCCCAAAGTTCAGCATTCTGTTTCAGGATCCCAAGGTTTTGCATTCTGTTTCAGGATCCCAAGGTTCTGCATTCTGTTTCAGGATCCCAAGTTTCTACATTCTGTTTTTAGGATCTGAAGGTTCTGCATTCTGTTTCAGGATCTGAAGGTTCTGCATTCTGTTTCAGGATCTGAAGGTTCTGCATTCTATTTCAGGATCTAAAGGTTCTACATTCTGTTCAGAATCCCAAGGTTCTGCATTCTGTTTCAGGATCTAAAGGTTCTACATTCTGTTCAGGATCCCAAGGTTCTGCATTCTGTTTCAGGATCCCAAAGTTATACATTCTGTTCAGGATCCCACGGTTCTACATTCTGTTCAGGATTCCAAGGTTCTGCATTCTGTTTCAGGATCCCAAGGTTATACATTCTGTTCAGGATCCCAAGGTTATACATTCTGTTTCAGGATCCCAAGGTTCTACATTCTCTTTCAGGATCCCAAGGCTCTTCATTCTACTTAAGGATCTAAAGGTTCTACATTCTGTTTCAGGATCTAGAAGAAAATTTTGGAACTAAGTACAGATAGTCGACAAATTCTAACTATTTTAAAATCCGACATCTTCCCTTATATTGGGGTCTAGCAAATCGTGTCCACTGTCTACTTAAAGTTTAATTTTCAAGTTTTCACGTAAAATCTGTTTTATTCCAGATTTTCAAAAATGGAGAAGAAGAAAGTATTAGAAAACTTAGTATTTAGTTTTCATAGATAGCTAAACTACATTATTGAGAAGGTGCAGGCAAACAAATTGATATACTCTATTTACTTACGATTTGGTGAAATTCTTGTAAATAATATATTTATCTATATAAATAAGAACTGTCCACTCATCAAGTTTATGTGCATAAACATACTTCTCAACTCAGATCCTGTCATATAAATACGCAATTAAAGGAGTCAGCAGTTCTATCCCTGAAGGGGAATTTAACTCGCTCAGCTATCCTGATGCCCGGGTCAACCTGGGAAATCAGATCATACCTGTTCAATCTGCACCCAGAGAAACAACTTCAGGTAAATTCTAATCATCCATCTTGTGTTGGACAAAAAGAACTGAGTCATGTTTAAAGGGATTGTGCATGCATTTGAATTTACACTTAATTTTCGAATTTAGGATATTCATGTGAGCCAGAAAAAAAATCATAAAAATTGTTTTTTGTTCCGTGGGTTGGACCATCAAATAAGATTATATTTACCCTAAATTATATTAAAAATATCATAGATCGTTTGATTTATAAAAAAAATATCAAATATAACATATCTTTGAAAACGGATTGAATTCTGGTCCCATTTAATGCATTTTTGATCAATTTGAATACGTAAAGGCATAACGGAACCTCTCCTGAAGCTGTTCTGCAGAAAGATTATTCCATATGGAGTTGATTTGAAATAATAGTTTTGTAAACTTTTTTTCCTCACGTCACACCCAGCTCTGTGTACATTATATGTATCAAGAATGTCTGATTATCTCTAAAATATCTTTATGATAATAACTAAAATGTCTGTTCATAATAAGAATGTTGGGATATATCTAAATGTCTAAATGTACCTGTAATGACTGCATCAATCACGAATGTCTGCACTCTGCATAGATTAAGAATGTATAAATATTTCTAAGACATTTAAATGTATTTAGAATGTCTGCATAAAACAAGAGTGTCAAATGTCTAAGTATCTAGAATATCTGATTATCTAGAATGTCTGGTATTTCTAGAATGTGAATATATAGAATGTGGTATCTCTAGAATGTGATTATATAGAATGTCTGGTATCTCTAGAATGTGAATATCTAGAATCTCTGGTATCTCTAGAATGTAAATATCTAGAATGTCTGGATATGATTTCCGTGATGCCTGTGAAGCTGGAGACAAGGACAAGGTTTTATCTCTCATAAAACAGGTCAGTTGGAGGAGTTGGAGTAGTCGAGTGGTCGGAGGGGTTGGAGTAGTAGGAGGGGTTGGAGGAGATGAAGTGGATATTATTGAGAATAATGAATTGACTATGATGCAGATTTATGATTGAATGAGATGGAGAAGTATGGATATTGGATATACATATTATATTACAGGTGGATATAAATGAGACGGATGAGTATGGATACACTGGTTTACATATGGCTGCTGAGAATGGGCACCTAGAGCTGGTTTCTCTTCTCTTGGAGAACGGAGCAGGGATTAATAAACTTATTTTTGAGAGTCTACTTACTCCTCTACATCTCTCTCTTTCCAAGGTTAAAAAAAAAATAAAAAAACTTGGCTAGGATCGCATCAGATTTATTTATTCAGTTTTTTTTGTTTGCATCATGTTAAGAAAAAAGTCTTGTCACTGAATTATAGAAGGTAGACGTGGAAAATACCCTAACAGCTGCATATTGCATACAATGCATACGAAAAGAACTTCAATTAAAACAAAATAATACTTTAGCTTTTAATAGATTTTCCATATCTACACAATAATGGGGAAAACAATTGAATAATTGGTTTCTTTAATATTCAGTATTCACTGATTCAGGGTAAGTTTGACATTGCTAAGAAACTGATTGAGGCCGGAGCTGATGTAAACCTTATCAGTCAGGTAGAAATTTATCCTATCGAAGATGCGAACTTTTGAATTTGTTTTATACAAAAGTTTTTAGCTCTAAGCTGAGAGTAAATTCTAGTCTGATATACCATTTGGATATTTTTATTATTATTAATCTTTTGTTCAATGTATAACTAAAAAAAAAATAATATTAAACCGGGTTAAAATCAACATTTATCTTAATTCATGAGATAAATCGGATATCAACATTTATCTCGATTTTATCTAAATGCTTTATCTTAAACTTTATCTATATCTAAACTTTAAACCAGATGCAAGTTGAATGATAATTTTTTCAACCCGACTACTAAAAAGATGTTTGCGGCTTGAACTTTAGTGCTTTATTGATCATAAATGTAAATGTTTACAAACCCATTCTGGTAGACTTAGACTACAAAAGGTCAATTTTCTGTGGTCAACAAATTAAGCATCAACCCATACCCCCTTTCAGTTTTGAAAACAGCCCTTTAAACTTGTACTTCTCCAACAATAAACTAAAAATATTAATAATGAAAATTTATGTTTCATATTTGCAGATTGGTATTTGTGGAACTCCTCTACACTACGCTATAGTAAAGGAACAACTGGATATTGTCAAGGTAAATCCTTTAACTATATAGATCTCTAAAATCTATTTAAAGAGGTGATGCTTCTCTGTTCATCAGGCGCGTACACAGGATTTTAGCCAGGGGGGGGGGAAGATTTCGCGGGAAGCGCGAACATTTCCCCCCCCCTGGCTGTTTTTTGCCCCCCCCCCCGGAATTGTTTTGTTCAAAAAGTCAATTAACACCATAAAAATACACCAAAAAGACTACATTTTTGGGCGTTACCAACCTTATAGAGTCTAAAATTTATTCCTTTGCTCGAGAAACTAACTTTAACTTTTTAACTTTATAAATTTATCACTTTACTCCATCACAGCTAACTAAATCAATAATCACAGCATCATTAAAAAATCATATTTTCAGTAATAAACTAAATTTCTTCTGATATTTGTTTATAAAATTTACTCCATCTACATATTCACCAACTCTTTTAAGCTTAAATTTTCTTGGATTTGCTTGAACAAACATTTCAATGATTTTCTCAGTAGTGAGCCATGAGTGCAAGATCGTTAAGTCTGCTCTCGTCATAGTACATCTTGTGTAATGAAGTATTCTCTTTAGAAGGCTAAAACTTCTATAAAGGAGAACTTGAAATTACGCTTAATATCTCTTTATGGAAATAAAGGAATTGAGTCTTTGCCACAAACTATGATTTTCTAATCACTTTATCTTTGAAACCAAATGTTGTAGACCTTAGGTATTTCAAACTAAGAATTCTGTTAGATTAAATATTCTGAATTTGAAATATCAAAGGTTTACAACATCAGGTTCCAAAGGTTTAAATATTTGAGTTTGTGCCAAAGACTCAATTCCTGTATTAATTGACTGTAAGAAAAAATAGAAAAATAGAAAATAGAATACCTTTATTACATCTTCCATCATGTTATAAGCATCTAATATGTCGAGGTCTCGTTTTTGCAAAGGTTTTGGACTTTGGTTTAAAGTATCTTAAAATTTTGTGTTAACAGTGAATTTAGACAAATCTTTAGTCTTTGTTATTGTCAGGTGTTACTTTTTAAATTTGTTTCCTTTTAATTTCGTATTTTCCAGGGGGGGAACTCCCAGAGGGGAAAGAGGACTACAGCCCCCCCCCATGTACGCCACTGCTGTCCATGGGTATTTTGTTCCACTATTTAAGTCGTTTAAGCCAGTCCCTTGTATTTTCAGTTTAATATTCTAAACTTTCTAATCAAAAATTAGATAATAGCGTGGCATTCGCGAAATCCTCACAAACGCACACTTGACCCAGACAACTTTTTTTCAGTTTAAAACGTCGATTGTTTTCTTGTCCAATGAATCCAATAACATAAAGTCATTTGAGTTTTATTCAAAAGTAAATATTGAACCAGAGGTACGCAGTTCAGCAACCTCTCTCTAATTCTGTCCAAGATAAATGGATTTAAGTTTTGAATATTCTCAAAGTAGATATTTCTCTGTAGATGCTGATAGCTAAGAAAGCTGATGTGAATCTTGTGGAAGAAATGAACGGATATTCTCCTCTCTACCTCGCAGCAACCCTTAACCAGGTATCCTGGTTTCATCCCTAGTTTTCCTGATTTTATCCACATTTTTCCTGATTTCATCTCTTTTTTCCTGATTTCATCCATATTTTTCCTAATTTTATCTATATTTTTCCTGATTTCAACCATATTTTTCCTGATTTAATCCATTTTTTTCCTGGTTTCATCCATATTTTTCTTGATTTCATCCATATTTTTCCTGGTTTCATCCATATTTTTCCTGATTTCAACCATTTTTTTCCTGTTTTCATCCATATTTTTCCTGGTTTCATCCATATTTTTTCGTTTTCGTCCATTTTTTTCCCTGGTTCATCCATATTTTTCCTGATTTCAACCATATTTTTCCTGTTTTCCTCCGTATTTTTCCTGATTTCATCCATATTTTACCCAATTTCATCCATACTTTTCCTGGTCTCATTCATCTTTCCCCGATTTCATCCACACTTTTCTTGGTTTCATTCATTTTTTTCCTGATTTTTTTCCTGATTTTTCCGGATTCATCCATATTTTTCCTGATTTCAGCCATATTTTTCATGGTGTCATCCATATTTTTCATGTTGTTATCAATATTTTTCATCCAGATGTTTTCTAGGTTCCATCCTGATGTTTTTCAGGTTTCATCATTTTTCTTCCTGCTTTTATCCAGATTTTATCGTGGTTTCAACCAGATTTAATTTTTTATTATAATTTTCATGTAAAGTACGTAATTTATCAAACCATGGTGTAAAGTGGGAATTTGTTGAAAGTAAGAATCTCCTCTTATTTTATTTGGTGAACCTATACTGCTTATTTTATTTGGTGAACCTATACTGTTTATTTTATTTGGTGAACCTGTACTTCATATTTATTTGGTGAACTTGTACTGCATATTTATTTGGTGAACTTGTACTGCTTATTTATTTGGTGAACTCGTACTGCTTATTTTATTTGGTGAACTTGCACTGCTTATTTTATTTGGTGAACCTGTACTGTTTATTTTATTTGGTGAACCTGTACTGCATATTTATTTGGTGAACTTGTACTGCATATTTTATTGTTGTTTTCTTAAGACTGATGCGATGAAAGAGCTGATTAAAGCTGGAGCTGATGTCAACCTGGTAAATTATCTTTATAATTCTAGGATTTGAAAATGCTCCGATAAAAAATTGTCTTTAAAAATTGTTAAATATGAACTAGATTAACAATGAATAATGTGTAAATTGGACTAAAGAAAATATTTTTAACAAATTAATGATTTCGATGTTTAAAATTTTTTATTTTTGATATTTAATAGATGTTAAGATATGTGTCTGCATGATCCCTCTATTAAAGGTTGATTATGAGGAGAAGGCTCCCCTCCACTATGCTGCAGCTAATGGTCTAGGAGATGTTGTTAAACTGCTTGTTGACAACAAGGCAGATGTTGCAGTACAGGTACCAAAAAGATAAACTCCTGACTAGGTCAACCCTTTTTGTATTTTAATCTGAATTCAGAAGTTTTGTTTTTTGAATCTCGGGATTAAGCATTGATCCCTTTCTTACGTGGATTTATTTAATCCCTTCTCTATATCTCGTTGTGGTCATACCCTGTAGGGATACCTTTAATTGGGGATCAAGCATTCATCCTCAAATTTAACTTTGCCCACATTTCATAATGAGATCAGCGTTAAAAATTTAAAATATCCATTCAAAAGTGTCGATCTTTGTTCATACCGCGGTCAAGATGTTACCTTTTCCCCTGGGGTGGGATAACATATGTCAGTGGACCCATGCATGTCTTGAATTTGAAAAAAAAATTTATTTTAAATTCTTAAATTTTAAAGTTTATATGTTGTAATCCCCCCTGGACAAATTCCTGAGTACGCCCCAATCACAATCAAAAGTTTTAACCTCTGTTTAAACATGTAAATTCTAAACTAGAATGTGCTCTAAGTAAAATAATTTGCCTTAAATATTTTTTCTCAAATCACTCACGGAGAATAGACATGGTTCAATGTTGATACATTCGCAGTGATATACGACACGATAAGTTTAATCAGAATTTAATAATAACACAATTGTTAATAAATTGATTTGATTAAGAATGGAGAGGGGCAGACTGCTGAGGATTTAGCTGAGAAGGTGAAAGAGGACGAGATTGTCGTCTTCCTGAAAGAATGTGCCAAGGGAACTATTCCAAGCAAGGCACCTGGAACTAAGGTAAGAAGGACTTGTAAATCTACGAAATGATGGTGGGGTTAAATTAAATCCAAATATTTCGAACTAGATTGGGAAATTAGCGTTGCCCAGGTTACTTATTGTTTTTCCCATCGTTTACCCGCGCTTGGTCTTAAATTACGATTTTAGCAATTTTTTCCTATAAAAGTCGGCCCACTTAACTTACACTCTCAAAACCAAGCTTGAACATGGTTCTCCCGAGTTCTTCAATTCAAATTTGAGGCAAATCGGTCCACGGATTCATGAGTTAATATTGAACATACAAACAAACAAACACTGCATTTATATAATCATGCAGAAATGTATTTTTCATGTTTGTTTTGACTAATCCATTCTTCACGACGTAAATATATCTATCTATCTTGACGTAAATATATCTATCTAACTTGACGTAAATTATCGAATGATTTTTACATTTATAAAGGTGAGAGAAGCAAGAGAGTTCAGAACCATAGTTCCTCTAGAGGGATGTGGAGAAGGTTGTGCTATGCCGGAATAGGTCGAGAAGGTTGACTAGGAGAAGGTCTACGTTAAGATCAAGAAGATGAAGACGGATGCAGATCCCAAGTTTACTAATATTTCAAAATTAAGATATATTGGAGAATAATGAAGATACTTAAATTTGTTTATATATTCCTATGTACATTATGTACAGTATGACTCACAAAACAAACTACCTTTAGATAAGATCGATCACTTTAACATCTTGCGGCACATAATCTTTCTGATTATTGCTTTAACATAATATTTATTGATAAATAAAAAACTGACATGCAGAATAATAAAACAAATCCTGAGACATGTTTTAAAATCGAAATGTGGTGATAGCATGGTTTTATTGTTTCGATTATCACACTGATGTACCATTAGAATTGTGTTGTACAGATTTTAAACGATTTGTTATTCCCAAATATCATTTACCTGAACTTACTAACAATATTTTTATATTGGATATTTTTAATAAAGAATCCAAATTGAAGCAGTATTGTATATCATGATAACACAGAGGATTATATATGCTTGAAGTATAGTTAACAATATACTTGATAAGAAGGTTTCCTGGTCTCATAGAACAAGAATTTTATAGAGTCGGCACTAAGAAGTTTATAGGAACCGAGTTCATGTCACACACTCAGATTCTCTTAATCCCTATAATCTATATCTCGATGTTGTAAACCTTGATATTTTAAACACTATAAAATCTTTGAGTGCAAATTTTAAATATAAAAGGTTTACACCATTAGGTTGGAAAGATATATGTGTTAGAAAATCTTTTCTAGTGTTATCCTTGAAAGATATGATTCCACCCCTCCTCGCTATTTGAGTGAAATGGGTCTGTTTACACAACAGCACAATTGGACTCTTTAAAGTCGATAAAAGAATATTTCAGAGTTTTCTGGTTATTACTGTAAAGTCTGGGCAATTCTAGAGTTCCAGCTTTTGATTTAAGTCTCCTCTAATATGAGTAAATCTCAATATTATTACTATTGTGTCTTCTATCGCTAAAAAATACATTGAATAATAAATGAATTGAATTTGCTCGGCTGATCGAGGATAAACTATGTTAAATCCAGAACCAAGGAAAAAATAACTCTACAAATTCTAGCTCGCTGATTTATCAAAAATTCGGAATTCTACTTCAGTGGATTACAAGTTCAGTCGAGACCTAGACCCGATCCCTAATGTAAATACCAATTTTTTTGTGAATTCCTGTCAACGGTGTAGGCATAATTAACGATGGTTAAGAGGACTGTCGAAGCAAGTGAAACTCGATTAACGAGTTAAATGCCCGATAACCGTGGAATAGTATAGGACGCCGAAATTCAGCAAATCTAAGAAATTTAAATTTTTCATCAACAAAATTTGTTGAAGCGCTGGAACCAAATTCAATTTACACAAGCAAGCCTTGAAATTTTTATGAATGATAATTTCTATAAAAAGAAATTGAAGAATAAAGCTACAAAGTTGAATTTGGTAATTTAACTAATTTTGTTGGCTGCAAATTAGCCGTGAACTTTTTAGTACTCGTAGGTCAAAAATTAACTTTTAAGTGAAATGAAAATGGATATTTTTGTCATTTTTGTTAAGACGATGTTCTATGTGTGAATTGGTCTTGTTATTGACTCTTTAAAGGAAGTTTTCGCAAAAAATGAAAGGGGGTATAGGCTTCCGGCAAAAGTAAGCGCTTTTGATCGCTACTTATCTTACTTCAATCTGTCGTGTCCATAAGGAGAAATTGATAAAAACGACTCACACCGAAGAACGTAGCGTCCATACAAATTTAGAAAGATGCAACATTAACTCGGATCTTAAACAAATCAATTTAATTCCAAACAAACATCTTTGGTCAGAATAAAAATATTGCATATTGTAATTAAAGCAAACTTGTGTAGCATGCAATTTTGATTCACATTTCAGATTTTTGTGGAGCATCTTAAAAGTGAAAACTTCGAATATTTAAAAACGGGACTCTAAACAATATCCATCATTAGTTAAAGGCAACGAGTTTATAGTGAATGTACGCTAATCTTTTACTAATTTTATAATTTATAGGCCATCAACTATACAGAGAGCGTACTGCATATTATTTTATTATAAGGAGATTCTGGCCTAACCAAAGATAATATATATATATAGATATGCGGGCAGGTATAAATTTAGAGGTCTTGAGAAAAGGTGCAAACAGCACCATCTCTGTCGTACGCATGGCATTTTATCCTCTGGATTGTTGCTAATTTATCACTTTGTTTATGCGTGATAACACTAAATGCGTACTATAGTATCAACAATGTATACTGCATATTGTACTTAATGAAACAAATTAATCAATGCAAATAAAACTGAGGTAGGAATTTGACTTGACAAAGTTTAAATGTGCAAATTGTACTGAGTGGCATACGTAAATTAACGCAATTTAAATAAAAATTATTACTATAAAAGTACATCGAATCTAGGACAAAGTACAACTGATCTGATCATAACATAAACAAAACGCGTACTGTATGTTTGTGTTACCTTGAAATTTAATTTTATTGGTCAAACAGGTCCAGATAGCAACACTTGAACTATACAGGATGCAATACGCGTACTGTATGTTTTCATAACACAAATGCGTATTTCCTACAGAAGGCAGCAAGGGGAGAAAGGAATATAGAAAGTAATCAATTTGCTATAGATGTCTCTCCTTGCACCTTTTCTCAGAGGTTCAAAAATTAGTTGTCTGCTACAAGCAATTTAGGAAGGAGGTTTCTACCTGCCTGCATATCTATATATATATTATCTTTGGGCCTAACCTATAGTATATCAATATTAGTAAACCGTTGTAAGTGTACAGTACAGCTAACTGTCAATTGAGCACACAGAGCTCGTTCTCTCCATAGAAAGTGGCCGTGTAGTTCACGTACTTTGGGGGACGATATGTTGGCCGCTAGATGTCTCATGCTAAATCTTATCTGATAGATATTTCTCCGTACATTTCACGGCCGATATAGGAGACGTCAAGTTGTCGACCAATGTAGTTTATGGAAGGAACGGTCTCTGGTGGGAAACTATCATCCCCCTTGTAATAGGAAGGTTATAATGCAAGGAAAGGTAATTGCAGTTGCTTATACTCTGCGTACATATTGAAACCAGTTCTCTTTGGGCGGAACTTGTAAACAAGAATAGATGCATCAGTGTTCGTTTATTATCCGAGGAGGTTAAAAGCATTAAATTTTGATAATTTTGATAATTCACATAACAATTTCCTATGACCACAACATTTCATTGATTTTTAATGTGAAAGATGGATCCCATGTCAGGCTTTGACATCCGTCTTGTGGTTGTGTTAACATTACCACCCAGAGACAGTACAAAGGATGCGCACACCTCTGAAATAACTTTCCTTGCATTATAACCTTGCTTATAGGGGTTCCCTACAAGTTTGATTCGATTCTCGATTTAATTAAGCTGTACTCCTTTTTATTTATTTCTCGCATACATTTTTAAATCAATAAATGGCCGAAAAGGCAAATTTCCTTGAAGTCAAGGTTAAAATTTTAAGATTGTCGTTAAAGTCGATCAACCTTCGTATATGGTTTTGGTGTAGTTTAAAAAGTAAATCCAGTTTTTCAAATTTATTTTCAACGAAGATGTAAAATGACTAATACTCGACTGCGCCTGCATAAAGTGCAATTTAAACTTGTAAAATAGATAAATAGATAGATACACATCGGACAGATGGATTAGTTGAACTAAATACACCTGCGCTCTCTGTTTATCCATATTTAGTAGGAAATCATCCATGTTGTCGGATTCCTGTGAATAAACGCTCATATATAATTGATTCCAATGATATTGAGTCCTATACAGATGGACAGGATTATCCACAAAACATGATACAGGGTGTCCCACGAAACATGACAGTTTGTACATAGTTTTGAATGTCTTCTTCCATATACTGTATTAGATATTATAGATTTTTTGCATTTTATTTAGTTTTAAAAATCTTTTACTCAAATATATTTTACTTTAAAATCAATTTTACTGTAATATGGCTGGCATGAACATTTTTATATTGGAGTTTAAACAACTTAACAAACTATGGAAGAAGACATTTTAAACTTTTCACCAACTGTCATGTATCATGGGACACCCTGTACCTATGAGACGACTACACGAATTGCATTAATGATTCGTATACACTTGTTTCTTTTTTCTCAAATTCGAATGTGTTTTCAATATAAGGCTTTATTTATAGAAAAGATGGAATTCAACCTTTACTTCGATATATTTACTAAGTTTGGAGTCGTCATTAAAATTTCATCCTTTACTGATAACCCTGTATCTGTAAACAGTATTTTAGTGCTAAAACAATGGGATACCATTTTTAAAGAGAAAATAACATGATACAATTTTTCTATTGAAACACCCTAATGCAAAGTCAGTTTAGAATAATGAGATTTTAAAATAGGAGTCTGAATTTTTTATTTTTATTTTCTTAAATATATACACTGGAAGGAAGACGGAGTTTCAATTCCTGTCTGAATTTTTATAAGACTTTTTGTTTACCGATAAAAGATGAGACTAAAATAACGATCCAAATTTGTTTAAAAATCAAAGTACGACGGTTGACATGAGTCCTCATTAAAGGTTCATCCTTTGCGTGTTACCCTGAACATGGCCGTCTGGTGTAGTAAGACACAATACATACTTAATACAGTCGTCGGCGTTTATATCAATACAATATAAACAACTTTTCTATCTATAAGTTTTAATTTATAACAAACTTTCTCAAATTACTATAGTAGAGTGTGTTAATTGACAGCTTCTCTTTTTCTTCATGTTTATCACTATAGTTTCAATAGAAGTAAATATTTCCATTTACTGGTAGCGCCGATTGAAGGATTCATAACTCTAATTGGATAATGAGATAGATAGAAAGATAGATGTTACCGCCATACTATTCCTATTGGTTCAGAAAAGATACCAAACACATGACTGAACCCTGATTGGATCAGGGCTAATGGACTCGGCATACAGGAGTGTTATATGTATCCAATATCCATGCTGTTTAAAAGCTTAGTAGTCAAATCAAACATTTACTACCATGCTGGTAGTTAAATTAAAAGTCGTCTTCATTGTATTGATATATACGACGACGACTGTATATCATGTAGGGAAACATTAGTTTTCTTGAAAAGTTGATAGAGATTAACTGGACTCCATTGTAAGAATGTATTGTATTTACTGTATCCCTTGCCCTCCCCACCCCCCTACAAATATCAAGAGTGTTCTGTTTTGGTGGCGCTGTCAGATAAATTCTCACAAATTCTATTTATTAAATTTCTCAAATAGTTTGGAAGGAAGAAGAAAGGAAATAATTTTTATGTAATATAAAACTTTTATAAAATAATAAAATGCAAATAAAAAAAATACATCTAAAATTCGCTGGAATAGCCAAAAAAAATTCTTATTTTGCATTGAACATTTATTAGTACTGTCTCTAAATAAACAATATGTGACCCCCTCCCCCATCTCCTCCTTTTTCTTTTAAATTCCGATATTATTACTAACTTATGAACTCCAGATGCTGAGAAGACCCATGGTCTGTTTATTTATGCCGAGAAGAGGAGGCACAAACTTTAAAGTTTCAACAAACTTTTTCAAAATTTTAAATCTCAAAGAAACAATATAAAAAAACAAATGATATGGGTTGTATTTGGCAATACTTTATTTATTATTTTCAGCAGAAGTGGCTTTTGGCCTATCCTACATGTGAGTCGAGTTATGGTATCTTGACTGTAGAAAAATTAAAAGATGGATTAGCACATGCGACTTTTAGTCTTATTTACGAATGAAATGATTAGTTTATTTCAGGAGGTATTCAGAAATTTGTCCAGGGGGGGGGGGGTTTATAATTTGTTATATCTAGAGAAGCTTCACAGTCCACATCCGTTTGGGCCTGAAAAGGTTTAACTGATCCAGGGGTGGGGGCTGAGACCCAATGCACCCCACTTGTAAGGGAAAATACCAGCTTTCAATGCGTATTAAGCTTTCAATGAGTACTTCATTAAAATAGTTGGTTTCAGAGTGGAGAGTATGAAATAAGTTTTTATGTTTGATTTTATTTAATTCATTGTTTAACCGCGGTAATTGCATATGTCACGAACAGGTGTTAACTGTGACACATCAGTGCAAAAAAAAAATAATATTTCGGAAACTTTAGTTTTACCAGCGTAAAGGTTTTCTGATTAATTACGGGTAAGAAATTATAATATTTTTTATTAGCGTGGTTATTTTGGTAAGGTATAAATTGAATCTTTAATGGCCGATATACAGAGCACATGAAGTTGGCTCACACGACTTACAAAGCATCAACAAGGACGTTCTTAAAGTTTTAAGCGCCTATTTATAGGTCAGCCTGGGGAGGAGGTTAATCTGGCTACAAATTCTGATGTGATAAGTTTGAATTACTGTAACGTTTTTTTCTGTGTTTTTGAAGGGATAGTCGATGTAAATTCAAGTTGACCCTCCATATAAAGTGTGCCCATTCACAACGGCAACGTATCCCTTTATTTGATCAATAATGTGGAAAATATCTTCAGTTTTCTAGCAAATAAAAAGCTTAATACTAAACTTTCTTCCATTGTCTCTGAAGAACAAATCCGCATGGCTCTAATACAAAAACCATTACCAAATAAAATCGTTTTTCAAAGAGCAGAAAATCGCAATTTGTTCCTTCTTTATCAGGCAAAATTTGTATTTGTACCGTTGTGAATCGGACATACCACTTCAAAAATGGAACTTATGCCTTATTTGCTTGAAATTACGCCTCGCGTCCCTTATTAAGGAAGAGATGTATGCATCTTGAACGCTGGAACGAAAATATGATAAAAGTTCTTATCTCAGTTGAGTTTACAATATATACTCATACTTCACAGTTTATATCTTACACAGTGTCATATATCCAAGCATACTAATTGTGAATAGCTCAGAGTACATTTGAGGTTTTTTGTTGCAGTTTGAGTGTGAGAGCTTCATAAAAAAACGATTTAAGGGTAATAAGGTTTTTTTTCAATGAAAATTGACCAAAAAATGTTTTTTTTTTAATTTAACAATTATAAAAATGGTCAAAACTTATTATTTTAAAAACTATTTACTTTTTTATTTTTTACTTCTTTTTTAGTTTTAGTTCTAACGTATACAGTGTAAACCTTGAATCCTGTAATGAAGCGCGGACTGAATTCAATCTGAAAAGGGATTCATATGAAACAAATAAATACTTGAACCTCAGATTAAAACTCATGTGAGAAATAGCGCTAATCTACAATGCAATTAAATTCGATATCCAACTTTTATATTTTAGAATTTTATATCCTTGATCCGTCAATTTTAGCATTGCATGGGTTCCAATAAACAGAAATTAAATAAACCCCAATTGGACGACAAAAAATTTATTATTTTAAGTATATACTAGATATATAGATAGATTTCTTAAGTGGTACATTACTTTTGTTTTAAATTTTAAAAGCTTGAATGTTGAAATCTGAACCTAAAATGTGGAGTTTGTAAAAACAGTTATCAATAATCTTTTGCTTTTGTATTTTTATAGGAATTGCAGAATGGAATAATAATAATATTTGAATAATGGAATAAAAGATGTGATTAATTGGATATTAAATAAAATTATGTTTTTTGTGAATAAAGATAGGAATAGAACTGACAAAAAGGGAAACTTGAAACCTAAAAAGGCATTCAGTTGAAGACTTGGGACAAGTCAAGAAGATTTTTAAAACACCACCCCTTTTCATCAGTTCTTCCTTAGAATTAACCCATTCCTTGTTTATATTCTATTGAGAATAGAGGAATCTTACAGTAGTGTTATATTTGGTCCGTACACTACAGTTAGTTTCACGTGCTTTAGAAAATAGGTTTAACATCGTTAGTTTCACGTGCTTTAGAAAATAGGTTTAACATCGTTAGTTTCACGTGCTTTAGAAAATAGTTTTAGCATCGTTAGTGTAGAAAATCCCACTTTCATACATGTCTTCAAAAAGCTCCTTAAAGCCAAAATGATTGATTGATGATGGATGATCTTTTCAACCTGATGTGGTATACCAATGATATTTAAATCTATGAATTTTTCTAGGCAGAATTTAACATCCCAAATGTTGACAACATCAGGTTGCAAATATTTAGATCTAGATTTAGGAATTGTTCAGATCCTTTACATATATTTATTTGAAGTTTCAGATATCAGAGTTATGAACCTGTATCCGCAAACAAAACTCTGAATTATTAATGCTCAATCTCAAAGTTGATATTTATAAATCTGCACAAACATAATGTTATATCTTTCTCGGAGATCATTTCAAGAATTATCATTGTAACATTTTTATTATTTTTCAGATATCAGAAAATCTATAAAATGGGAGAAAACAGTCCGAGTGGATTATTATCTCCGAATGAGAACAAATCTATTTTCAATCTGCTTCAGTAAGTTTTCCGTTACGTGGGAAATAGCTGTTTCAATCAATATAAGAAGTGTTAAATTCTGAAAATTTCCTTTATTGTCTCTGCAGCATAAATCCGCAATTCAATTAGAAATAGAAACCATTTATTTGTTGCTTATAAAATAAGCATTTCTGATTCATTCCTGATCTGAAAAGAGTGCAGTTGTAAATCGGACATATTCCACTTGATATTACATCTATGTAGATATTTAGTAAACTCCCTTTTCAGGTTACATCCGTAGTTAGTTATCCCCTATACCGCAGATGGTTATCCCCTATACCGTAGATAGTTATCCCCTATACCGTAGATAGTTATCCCCTATACCGTAGATAGTTATCCCCTATACCGTAGATAGTTATCCCTTATAACCACCCCAAAAAGTGACTGTGTGCATCAAAGTGTACTGAATACTAAAATGTTGTTTTTAAGCATGTGTTTATACAAACATGTCAAGAAATGTTTTCAAAAAATAAAATAAAATAATGCTTGTTCTCCTGTTGTTATTAATCTTCAGATTAATTTACCGATCTGAATTAAGGATATCCCATTTAAAAGTTCCCAGCTCTGATTACCTAAGCTTTAAACGCTGATTTTCTAATCCTCGTATCTTTGCAACCTGATGCCGCAGACCTTTGATATTTCAAATTCTAAATCCTACTAGATCAAATGGGCAAAGATTGAAATACAAAATTTTCACTTTCACATGCAAAGTTATAGGGATTATATAGGGGTCTTTTGTTCCTTGAAAAATCCAGGTTTTCTTTTTAACTCTTAAATTTGTCTGAAGTATATAAAATGAAAATGACAATTAGGAAAATGTGTTTTTGATTTAACCTCCCTGTGAATAAAATATTTCACGAGAACATGAATTTCCCTTTTAATAAATTAAAATTCGTTTCCGTTTCCTTTGATATTTGCCGCCTTTTTGATAATTTTTATGGACTAGAGTATTTTTTAACTCCGAGGTTTTCAAGTTTTGAACTGGGGTATTTGAATTCAACTTTTCTACCGCGCTATAGTAAACAGCAAAAAAATTATATTTTTTTTTGACAAATCAGAGTTTTCGATAGTTTGAACTTATTTTTGCCATTTTTGATAGATCTAACCATGCTTCACTAGATAGAAGGAGAAGGTCAAATTTATGCATTTTAGGACTTTGTGACCTCGTAGCTCCTGTAGTTTTGATTTAGGCAGAAGTATGGAGTATAGTTAGGATACTAGAAATTCAATTAATTTCTATTCTTCCATGAAGAAGAGGATATATGATTAGAAATATGTAAGATATGATTAGAAATATGTAAGATATGATTAGAAATATGTAAGATATGATTAGAAATATNGTGACAAAAATTATTTATTCTCTACGAATTTTTCTTTGAAGATTAACAGAGTTCTTCATGTTTTTAAAAAAAGTGCAGTCTGTCCTTACTGAAAAATTAAGGGAAACATTTTTTTGAGTAATGTATTTTAACATGAAAAAAAATTCAATTTTCTCATCCCTATATTTTTGTAACTAAATGGTGTAAACCTTTGATATTTAAAACTTTTGACGAATTCAACAAACATGGTTTGAAATATCAAATGCAGAAAAATATAAGAACGAAATAATTAGAGTGTGAGAAGTAACCAGTTTCTTTATAAATATTTCATAAAATTTTGAATTTTCTAGACTTCTGGACTCCGGCAATGGAAAGAGAAGTTGGTCGGAGTGGTCTGTCTTACAAAGGTAATCCTTTACCTCCAAAAGTCTCCTAAAGATATCTTTTAACGATTTTATGGGATATTTCAAGTTTTCAATAGATTGAATTTTCAATATTTTGAATATGTCAAACACATTTATACGATTTCTTCTGGTGGTGAACCTCTGCTACCTCATTTTTATTTCAAACATATCAATTGACTGGCAAAATCATTCATGTTACAACCTTAATCAAAACTTTTGCCCTTTTTGACTTTTATATTAAAAGTTTAATGTTTCAGTGTGTAAATATAAATTGTTATTTTTTCTAGGATTTCGTTAGAAAATCTTTCTTCATACAAGTTATTAACATGGATTTTAATTCTAAGGTAACCAAAGTTGCCTCAATTTTAAAGACTGGGTCGAGCTTGAAGTTTTCCAACACCTTGGTCTTTAAATTTTAACTCACTTCTAATTTCTCACTGATTTGTGGACGAGGGCTTCAAGCTTGCATCTTTGTATCACTGTGCATAGCATAGTTTCTTATTTTAAGAAGCTCTTCATAAGAATTCAGGAGTTTTGAACTTCTGCATTAATTTACCTTTAAATAGTTTGGCGTAAAATCAAATCTAGACGAGGTAAAAGGTCACAAAGCAGTTCTTCTTTGCATGTGTACATAACAATTAATCTTCTAAAATAATAGAAATTCTTTCCCTAAACATACAGTTTAATAAATAAAAACAAATATACAGGTTGTTACAAAAAACATTTATTTCTTATTATTTATTCTTTAAATCTTCAAAATTGAAGGAGATATTAAACCTTTGAAAGATTTTGTTGTTATTTAATAAATTCAAATCTTTCCGTCTCCGTCAATTTTAAAGGTTCAAATATGGTAAACCACATTTTGGAATTCCCAAAACTAGCAGTTCAAATCTATGCATGGATACTTTAATGATAAACTTCCCTCTTCCTTCCAAAATATGTTTAAGTCTCTAGCTGAACCGAATAGAACAAAATCATATAAATTAGAACGGGTTTTAAACAAAAATCTAGAAAGCTTTCCGTCCGCAATGTTTCCTAAATTGTGGAATGAAATTGAAATTGACCTTAAAGAAACTAAATCTGCAAAAATATTTAAACAAAGAGTAATCAATATTTATCTTGAGAATTATGAGAGGTTTAAATGCGAAAAACCTAGATGTATATTGTGTGACTAAATTTTTTATAAAAAAACTAAAACTTCATTAGCTTATTTATGTTTGTGTAGCTACCATCATTAACACCCTGTATTTAATTTATCTCTACATTAATCCCTCTGATCTCAGCCTGCCACAGATCACCTGACAATCTCCTTCCTTCCAATCAACACCTTACCTATTCAAAAACATATCTTGATATGCGTAACCAATTATATTCAGTATCGTTAACTAAGTTAGGGCCAACCACTCAAAACAATTTACTCTGGTTAGGCGGGTCCAAACTGCATAGTAAATTGTGATTGCTTATTTGTAATATCTCATTCTTTGTAGTTGAATACAAATATAGATGTATGAATGAAATGTTTAAACGGGAGTGCTGCAAAATTTTGTTTATGTAATAATACCACGCGGAGCAAAGACGATATATATAAGTCGCCACTTATTTTCCATGTTTAATCGGTTCAGTATTTTGAAAAACCAGGATTTGTACAGTATGTACACTGTAGGAATGGGAGCAGGAGCTGTACATGGAGATGAAATACTTGACTCCTGAACCCTGGTTTCATATGTTCGAAGCTGAGAGCAGTCAGGCAGCTTTTAGCTTCGTAGACGAATCTGAAGCGGCTCATTTCAGAAACAAAGTTCTAGGTAGGTTAGGATATATAATATTATTTTGATACGCTTCACGCCAAATACTTGATGTTAATTTTTTATAAATTTAATTATTCTAATTTTAGAAAATTAGGATAAAAACAATCAAGAAGTCAGAATTTTTGAATTTTGAATCTTGGGATCAAGTATTGATCTCCATCTTATGCTAAACTACTGATTTAGTTAATTCCTCTTAGATATCCTCACTGTGATTTAAAGGTCTCAAACTCTCAAACAAAAAACGATAAGAAGTTTGCCAATTACTTCCTAAAAACCAAAGCTAGCAAGTGCTTTATTAAAATGTACATGTAAAGGGCTACATAAAAGTATAAGTAAGTGAGAGCGGTAAAATCCAAGCCCAAGGCGTAGCGACCGTTCAAAGTTGACCCTGTCTTAAAAATTAATTGATTATCAAGGTCAAGAGTTCAAGATTAACGATACTCCACACAAAAGCTCTCAAATAACCTTGTTGTTTTCGGTCAAGTTTCTACATTGAATTTGAAAAACACCTTGTTTGAACCAATTTCTTTCAAACTTCAGCATATTCTAATTATTAGGCTGTTTAGAAAAGTTGAGTAAGGCAATTCCTAATAAATCTAGAATTAGAGTGACAGAACAACAGATTAAGGTAATATTTGGACTTGTTTCATCTTGTCTGTTTTTACTTTTCTAGGTTTTTATTGTTTTTTTCCGTTTTCGCAGAAATTTCTGTTTTTTAATCCTGAATTTCCAAAGATTTACCATGATATCGGATTTTTAGTGACAAAAAGAACTGATTTTTTGCCACAAACTTAACTTTTTAAATACTTGTATCTTTGCAACTTGATGAGTTGGTAATCTAATAGAATTCATAGTTTACAATATCAAAGGTCTACTATATCGGATTGCGAAGAAATTAGGATTAAAGAATCATTGTCAGTGACAAAAACACTGACTGCAACTGCGAACTTTCATAAACCTTGTAAACAAAAATGGGTCCCATCGGTTCCGCAATTTTACTCTAGACTAACAATCTTTAAACTTACGGAGCTGTTCTTTGATATTTTTTCATTAAAAATGCATTCGCTAACAAAAGCTTTAACATATAAATTGTGAAAAATTAATGTTCAAAAGGCAAATTGTGATCAAAAGCTTGATAAGACAAGGCCGGACCGATCTGTTAAAGAAATAGAGTTTTTGCCAAAAACTTAATTTTTATCCTCCCTCTTTGCAACCTGATGGCGTTTAAACCTTTGATATTTCAAACTCCGGCAATTAGATCTCACAGAAATTATAGTTTGAATTATAAAAGGTCAAAGACTTTGTGCTGGAAAGATACAGGGATTATAAAGCCCAATTTGATTGCAAAAACTCAATTCCTTTACGTGATTTTAAAGTTTTTTAAAACTTTTCATCTGCATGCATTATTGTACATATGTATAAATATTATATAATGTAGTAACAAATATCCATGGTTATCTATAATATAGTTTTCCACAATATCACGGGCAGCCGTAGTACATTTGAATTTCCGAGCCGGGTCAACCTTTCTGGTCCCAGTTTGTACCTAACTCTATGGACAGGACTAGCCGGTGCAACAAGGTTGACGTGGCCAAGCTTTATGCTTCATATAGATTGAATTTAATTTTACCAAAGGGGCAGATTTGCGTGATATGGAAATTCTAGAAACGTTTTTTTACAAAGCAATTAATCTTTTTCAACCTTTCACTCTAGGCTGAGGAAAACAAAGGGGAGAAACCGAGTTCGTTAAACCAGAAAAAGAAAAACAAAAAAGAAAACAAAAATAGGAAATTTAGCAAACTAGAAATTTCAGGCAAGCTTACATTTGTTTTTAAGAAAAATATATTTACTTTTTAATTTTCTGTGTATTTATCATGTTATTATTACTATCATATTATATATTTTTTTATTCATGAAATTTTATCATCTAAGTATTGTAAAATTATACTTCTTGTTTTCAGGTCCTAACCTGGATAGTTTTGTGCATGTGAGTGGAATGAAACCGGGTGAATCAGGACGAATGGAGATGGTAGATAACTCTCATGAGCTTGATCCTAGACTAAGGTTCTCCTAGAGTTTCCATCATTTCCCGGATATAGAATATTGATTCATTCATTCATTTATTGACTACTAGCTGAAATTCCTGGCGTTTCCCGTGAAAAAAAAAATTTACTTTAAAAAATTTGAAAAAATTCGAATTTTGTTAAGCCTATGTCACCCCCATGCTACCCGTGAGTAACCAAAAAAATCTGCCTATTTGGTCCAGCCGTTTGGCCGGCCAGAGGGAACATATATACGAATGTCTTGTTTTATTATATAGATAAATTTGTCAAATTTTAAGATTCAACATTTTCTGCGTGTTTTGTAAAAAAATTTAAAAGAATATTAATTTATTACTAATTGAAGGGGAAATCAGGCAATTGGACAATAAGAGATTTAAAAAATCAGATTCTGAGAATCATTTTTAAAAAATTCTTTCAAATTCTAAAATGTTTCTATTTAGGACTTTTCTGATGAAGAGATTAAACATTGATATCTCGAGTTTAACTCCTCAGGAGATCAACCAGGCTAAGAAGGTTGCGGAAGAGGAGAACCTGTATGAGAAAATTGAAAAGGGTCGGAGCTTAAATCGATCCCTCAAGGCTCCATTCAAACCCGTCCCTGCACGAACACCCTCTCCAAACCCGTCTGTGCCTAAAGTGAAACCTCCTCCTATCCCTAGACGTGAACCTCCTCCTATCCCTAGACATGAACCTCCTCCCTCTCCTAGACCTGCTCTACCAAACCTTCCTCCACCCAGAGTTAAACCTTCAGTCACCTCTCACAAACCAAATTTTACTCCGAGACTTCTAGAAACAATTGACAAGGTTCAACTAAACAAACCTAAACCTCCAACAAGCGGAGCCGGAATTCCTGCTCCACCCCCTCCTCCTCCTCCTGCTCCAGGTCCCCTGGTTACACCGTCAGCTCCATCACCTTCTTCTCCAGGTGCTCCTAAACCCTTATCAAATCTTTTTGCACCGAACACTCCTATAACTCCTGTTCAACCAAAGAGGGACCTTCTCAGTGATATTAGGTTAGTATTAAAATGATGATTTGATAACATTATGGTTTTTACTTTATGTAAAGGGTGTACCATCAAACAGGGAATTGGGTGAAGATTAAATGATCGTCTTTGTGATTTTCATTTAGTTTTGTGTTGCCTTCTCAGAAAGCTTTTATTCGTAAAATGTTTTGTCCGCTAGAGTGGTTAATCTGTTTGTTTATGTTTTGATTTCATACTTTTGTATTTTATTAAAATGTTTTGTCCGCTAGGAGTGGTTAATCTGTTTGTTTATGTTTTGATTTTATACTTTTGTATTTTATTAAAATGTTTTGTCTGCTAGAGTGGTTAATCTGTTTGTTTATGTTTTGATACACTATTACATTTTATTAAAATGTTTTGTCTGCTAGACTGGTTAATCTGTTTGTTTATGTTTTGATTTCATACTATTGTATTTTATTAAAATGTTTTGTCCGCTAGACTGGTTAATCTGTTTGTTTATGTTTTGATACACTATTACATTTTATTAAAATGTTTTGTCTGCTAGACTGGTTAATCTGTTTGTTTATGTTTTGATTTCATTCTTTTGTATTTTATTAAAATGTTTTGTCTGCTAGAGTGGTTAATCTGTTTGTTTATGTTTTGATTTCATACTATTGTATTTTATTAAAATGTTTTGTCCGCTAGAGTGAAATAGAAAGTCGTCTTCATTGTATTGATATATATACTACGACGACTGTATAACAATGCTAGTAATCTAAACAAAGACGATGTTAAAGTCGTCATTCAATACCCATTGCACGGGCAGCCGCAGTACATTTGAATTTCCGAGCTGGGTCAACCTTTCCGGTCCCAGTTTGTACTGTACCACTTAGACATTGGGTGAATAAGACAGACAATCAATAGGTCTAGTCAGTGCAACAAGGTTGACGCGGTCAGACATTAGGTTGAATTTACTTTTACTAAAGGGTAGAGGTGCGTGATTGAGACACCCTGTATTGTTCTAGGGATTGGAAGAGTAAAGTTCAGTTGAATAAAGTTGAGCATACGCAGGAAAGATCCAGTGCATCAGAACAGGTACTGACAAATCTTTCTTAAAGGGAATGTCGACGAAATTTAAGATACCCTTCATTTATAGAGTAGCATGACCGATTCACAACGGCTCACGGAAAAACTTTGTCTGATCAAGTATGTATGTGATAACCAACAAATAATCTATTTTCGTGTTATTTATCAGATCTGCAGATTCAACAGGATCAACATGTACCGTTGTGAATCGGGTAACCTTCTCTCCGAATGATATTACAGTCCCTCTCATTGAAACATAATTTAATTGCTAAACAATACTTTAAATTTTGTTCCAGGGAGGACTGGCAAGTGTGATGAGAGAGGCAATTAATGGATTCAGACCAGATGTAGGATATTCTAGTTCAGAGGATGAGGAGGAGGAGGATGAGTGGGATGAAGACTAGGAGGAGGAAGAGGAGAAGTGGGATGAAGACTAGGATATTCTAGTTCAGAGGATGAGGATGAGGATGAGGAGGAGGAGGAGGAGGATGAGTAGAAGTGGGATGAAGACTAGGGAGGAGGATGAGGATGAGGATGAGTGAGGATGAGGAAAAAATTGGGTTATATGTCATTTTTTCCGTGCGTCTGTGCGCCTTCCAAAATTAAATAAAACAAGTTCAATTTCAGTCACATCTTTCATCTTTGTTAAAAAGTTTTATTTCAATTGAAAAATATCATTTTATTTAGCAAAAACGTGCGTTCTTGCGCCGCGCAAGAACGCATGAAAATGACACTTAAACTGTCATTTTCATGCGTTCTTGCGCGGCGCAAGAACGCACGTTTTTGCTAAATAAAATGATATTTTTCAATTGAAATCAAAGTTTGATTGAAAATGCACTGGCGCAAGGAAAAACATGGATTGCTGATTTTATTTTGATTCAAGATTATCACAAATAAAAGAAAAGATAACGCACAAACGCACGGATATATTGACATATTATCCAAATTTTGATTTTGGGGCAGTTTACACCAATACCGCTATAGCTGGTCAAATTTGATAAATGCTGAACCAAATTGACTGAATTTTTTAAGGGAATCCGAGGACACCCCTAGGGTAACATAGGCTAAAAAAATATTTTTATTTCAGCACTATTTCTCAGTATGGATCTATTGATCAAAATCAGACATTTTTCTAATTTGAAATATGGTCACCATAGAAGAAATGTTTTCTTCAGAATATGTAAATATTTATGCGGCTCCAGAATAAAGGTAGCCTTTACCTATACATAGTTTTGTTAATCGTTATGTTTTGATTTGGTTTGGTGATTATTGGATCATTTAAAGAAGTTCCACAAATATATTCGAGCATTTTATAATTTTAAGAATAGTAAACGTTTACTTTTCTGACACTATGCCAAATGTTGACCCTGATAGTAAATGTCTGCCAAAAATGAACCAAAAACAACGAAGGTGTTTGTTTGTTTTTAATCTTTGTGACAGAAACAATCTTAAGAACTGACGAGGGTCAACCCAGACCGAAATAAAATTTCAATAAATGTGAAACTAACATATACTTTATTTACTCTACAGAGGTTTTGTCCATCACCATCACCAAATTTTTAAAGGTGTTAAAATTACCGTATTTTTTTTTAAAAGAAATTTGTTTGTCCCCAGGACATGATCGGGTTGTTACGATCAAACCTCGGAATTTTTCTATCGAGTAAGTTTGGTGTTGTAAGGGTTTATATTGATGTACCAGGGGTTGTAATCTAGCAGCACATTCATCCATCCACGCTTCATTCATTCTGAGAAGAGGGTTGACAAGATTCCAGCTGCCTATGGGCTAAATAGAAGCAAATTATCGAACCAAAACTATCATCAACCTTACTTATGCGGATTCCAGGAGAAATAAGGCAGTTTCAGTTTATTATTAAACTAGATTCGAACCCCACCTTTGCCTGTAGTATAAACTTTTCCAATAAATGTCATTCCAAGCAATTAAGCTAAGCTAAGAACATTACTACTTTATCTATATATATATTTTGCTTGTCTAGCTGTCCGTCTTTGTTTGTGTCCAATAAACGTAAAATCGGCTGAACTGATCGGGCCCAAATTTTGTGTGGGACCTCTCATTCCTCTCATGACCCTAACATCAATCTCCATGTGAATTGAAACACCCTAGTCTTGTAAATAAAATCTTCTGTTAAAGTATAAAAAAAGTTCATACAGCATACAAAGTGTATCGAAAAACAGTTGAAATTTTTAGCAGATATTTTATGTCTGAAAAACAAAAATCGGTTCAGAATGAGGCTCAGGGATCAATTCATCACAGAACGAGGATTTCTCAAACTTGCATGCTTGCTTTGATCGTAGCACAAGATTTTTGTTTGAGCATTTAAATCAGATATTTTTTGTCGATTTTTTCTCGAGAACAAAATTGGTTCAAAATTGAGGTTTTAGCATCAAATACTGGTTTTTACAGACACTCTGTATAAAAGCCTAAAATATAAAAAACATTTCGATTCTAAAGAGTCTCTCTGGGACTATAACATTTTTACTATTGAAAACGTATCCAACAACAATGTACAGACTTGGTGCGGTTTGTACAAGAACAGTTTTATTGACATAAAATTACAATTTTGCTGTGATAAAAACAATTAAAATCTAGAAACATTGAATTAGCAAATTTAACTTTTTTGAAAGAGTGGACAGGGAAACCGCGTTTCTCTCTGTTCAGAGCTGGATGAATATTCTTGCTGGCAGGATTGATAAATGATAAGTTAAGATAAATTATGCTAAATAGATATATTTTCATGTGCTCTCTGGTTAAAAGAGTAAAAATATTGATAGAGAAATGTCCCCAACATTCTAATAAAGAGTTTTCTGAATGTTCAACGGAAAACTTTACTTTGCAAGTTAGTAAAACTTTCCACCAAATCTAATCCAATCATAAAGTTTTCCCTCCCCCCTTTTCTTTCTCATTCAGAATTTGTCTTGTGCCGATGTACTGATTAAACATGAGTTAGCACATCACTTTCAAATCTATTGAGGTCATGGTTTCAGTATTATTCCTAGATTAAAAAAACAATCGTCCAATGAGACGAATGTAGCGTGCTGTTCAGTAAATTGTAAACCTTGAAACAGGTTCAAACTCACGAAAGACAGGTTTAAGTCCAGTTCTCAGTTCAATTCACCATGTTCACAATTTTTACATTTTCACATTGTTCATTTTCTCAACCTTACTCAATCTCTGGTTCTCAAATTTAATTTTCTCCGACGCTTTCTCGTCCGCCTCTTTTATATGTTCCGCCTCTCTTCTTTCTTTCTCTTCCGCGTCCTTTCTCACTTTCTCCTCTGCATCCCTTTTTTCCTTTTCTATTCTCTCCTGCTCCTCCTCCTGCTCTATCACAAGTTTCCAGTTCGGAGTTTCCGCGAGCTCCGACCATCTCTTCCGGTTCGATTCACATCCTAATCAAAATTATATCAAGTGTTTGATTAATATCAGCTAAATAGTTTTTAAGGAGTTTGAAAGTAACAAGGAATTTCAAGGATAAGAATAATGCATAAGGTTATTTCTACATAACATAATTTAAAAAAGACGTCGCTATAAATTTTCGAGTAAGTCATCGAAAACCCAATTGAAAAGTCCAAAAGGGTTGGAACAACCCTCTCGAAGAATATAAATGATCAATTTATTGTTTGAATAATACCTTCTAGAAGAGGTTTAAGTCCCGCCGAGGCACCCGAAAGACATTCGTAAACAGGTTTACAGATCTCATCAATAAAGCTGAGCTGCATTTTCGGTAACTCATCAAACCGTTCCCGGTCCATCATCGGTATTGGTTCCAAGTGCAGTTCTTGTTTCTCCAGGTCACCCTAAACATTGATAAATGTTAAACTTAAGTTGATTTTAATCTGTTATTATTATTATCATTATTAAAAGGCAACCCGTTATTTTAATGCTCCTGTCCGTCTAGCGTATCCCTAGATAATGCCCCCACATTATCCCGGGAGCAGACTTACTACGGCTACAGTCTGCCCAGAACAGTACAATTGCTGGGCCGGACCTCTCCAAATAAATAAGAACAATACCTGATCAAAGAATTCTGTTGTGACTAGTTGAGCGATCTTTCTCTGGATCGGCCAGGGCTTAGTGATCGCTCCAAGATCACAGGCGGTCATCATCAACCCACGGTATAGTATTCGATCCTGTTCATCCTAAGATAAACAAGTTTTAAACATGGATTAATACAAATACAAGTGGAAAGGAAACGAAGTAAAGTAATCCTGACTCTGTATACTGTATAGCTTGGCAGTGTGGAAATGTATTTATATGGATATATATATATTTTACCCCACCCTTTAATAAAGTAATAAAGGTGTAAAACGTGTCTCAAAAACTGTGACAAACAAAAATTCATTCAACATAAAGCAAAATGGAGATAGTAAAATCTGAGTGAAAACTATAAAACCAAAACACCATTTTCTTCTAATATTTCCTGGAAAGTATCCACCCTTTCAATTATTTCATGGTTTTCGGGCGTAACCTCAGAGGGAATAAAATGCTGGGATTTGTACGTAAGGTATGGGAATTATCCTTTTACCCAGATGGAAGTGGAGGGGAAGGGCTATTTAATCAACATAGGAAGAGAAGAATACAAAGTAAAAGATAATTTGAAAAGCAGGACAGGAGGACCGTAAAGAGGAGAACCAGAACCTACTGAGAAGGGTCAAACCCTACTAAAGTAGGGCAGGGGGAGAGCCTACTGAGGGGAAAGGGGAGAACCTACTGAGGGGAAGGGGGAGAACCTGCTGAGGAGGGAAGGGGTAGAACAAACTAGGGGGGAAAGTGGAGAATATACTGAGGAGGGCAAGGGGTAGAACAAAACATACTTAGGAGGGGAAGGGGGATAACCTACCTTCCAGTTGATGCCTCGTTTAACCATCTCCACGGTTTCCTTTCTTCTCTTGAAATACAGAGCAAGATCAGTAGACAGGATACAATCCTCTAGAACCTTGAGAACGCTCTTAAACTGGACCTGGAGTAAAAACATCATTAGAGTTAAAGAAATAGGATTCAGATATTTTATAGCGTTCGGAAACAAAACCAGAAACATTTTTTTACATTTTTTTTAAATTTTGGTTTTAACAAATTGTATTACAAAATTGTATAAATAACCAGATGATAGCAGCTGCTGTTTTATTATACCTATTTTTCTTAAAATCTCCATTTTTATTGCTCTTGTTTTGAATCATTGACCATATATTAGCGGATTTTAAAAAAGATAGTATTTTTTGTGACATCCCTGCAAAGCCTACATTTTACAGGTTCCAAACCAGACACATTATTTTTCTCTTTTGGAAATAAAAAACCAACAATAAACAGGTAATCATAGACATAGAGCGAATATTCTTGTCAAAAATCCGCAAAATATTCATGAAAAACATTATATTGAGCTGTATTTGATTTTATGAGAAGAAGATTGTTGAAAAGATTGTTCTGCCAGGTTGGGATGAATTGAATTACTCAGCTACTGAAAGGAATGTCCATTACAATAGAAAAACGGTGTAAAATGTGGATAAATCTCTTGGAAGAAATTGTCTAAACATTTCAATCCTGGACAAGAGGAACAGCTCGTCAGGAAATAAATAATAAACTGTAGATACCTGGGATAGGTTTGAAAGTATCTGATGTCCTTTAGAGTTTGTAATCATGAGGCACTGATCAAAATGATGATGCTCCATGGTTGAGGTAGTGTATAGGCGAGCTAGAGAATTACTCGCCTTTAACTGAAAACAAAATTATTTTATTGAATTGGAATAAGACAGATTTTTTTACGATAAATAACCAGTAGAATAATTAGGAATAACTATTTAGGCCAAAACCTTCACTTTCTGATCAAGAGGGATTAATTTTAGCGACTGAACTCTATATTTGAAAACAAAATTGGTCGAAGGAACCCGTGGTTGTATAAAATTTTAATTTTCCGAAAAAAGTAGTCGTAGACAATTTTATCGTATTTTGAGAAGAAAATGCGCAAATTTTTCTACGATAACTTCGCGGAGTGGGTGATTATTTTACTAAATTGTCCCAATGGACATTAAGTAACTTAACCTCCCTCTGTTGTTGGAATCAAAGGTCGGTAATATTTGTGAAAAGATGGAATAAAAATAAAAACTGAATTAACCTGGAATGAGTTATTAGTTCCACGATGATCCAGGTCGTGGCAAAGACAGGCCAATATCAATCCCAGGCATTCAGTCTACACATACAGGAAAAATATATAACTTTTGTACATTTCATCTAACAATATCAATCCTACATACAATTGATTTTTTTAGGTGAGATTTAACAAATCTCTAGCTGATAAAAATATCAATTAATATCTATAGTTGTGATTAAAAAATGAATTCTTTTTCTGGATTTAATTAAAAAATCAATTATAGTTTAGATATAAAAAATAACTTCTATTTCGAAGTTGATTTGAAAAAATTCTATTTCAAAACTTTGTTTGTTCAAATTCTATTTCGCATTTTGATTTTTAAAATCCGATTTTGTAGGTTTGATCCAAAAAAAACAATTTTATTTCTAGTCTTGATTCTATGGAATGAACAGATTGCTAGACAATAACATTGAAAACCAGGGGTGTAGAAAACATCAAAGACCCAAGAGGAGGGAAAGGGAAGGGACAGGGGAAAGAAAAGGGGAAAAAAGGAGTAAAGGAAAAGAGGAAAAAGAGAAGGAAGTTGATAGGTAGGGATGAAGATAGGTAGGGAAAGATATAGGTAGGGAAAGAGATAGGTAGGGAAGAGGAAAAGTAGGGAAGAGGAAAAGTAGGGACGGGTAAGGTTGGGAGGAAAAGGGAAAGGTTGAGAGGGAAAGAGGAATATAGGAAACTACGAAAGGGACAGGGAAGGGAAGGGAAGTAGAAGCGGAAGGTAAGAGGAAGGTAGAGTAGGTAGGAAATGAGAACGCAGGGAAGGGGAAGGTAGAGAGTCGATGGAAGGTTGGCAGATAAAGAAGTGAAGGAAAGGGGAATACAGGGAAGTGCTGGAGCTCTTTACCTCTACATAACTACATAACTACATAACTACATCTAAAATCAGAGTTTTTCATAAATAATTTTCCCCCAGTAGCTATAATGCTACAAAAAAACGTGTTAAAAATTCAATACAAATATGGTAAAAGAATGCACATTAATCAATAATTTTTACAAAAAGTCAAACCTACTAAAAGATACCATGCTAAGTATGAAATACATCAGGTTGAAAATACATAGGGTTTAGAAAACTAGTGTGTGTCAAGTAACCATTTCTTAACTAGAAACCGGAGTTCAATGACTTTTTACAATTAAGACTTCTTTTGCTGAAGTTAATAATCTCTGTGTTAAAGGGTTCAAGGTTAGAATAGAACTCACCTCTCCGAGCTCCTTCCAACATTGCGAAGCTTTAATCATTGCAAACATAAGCTGGCAAACATTAAAGGCATGTCTCCAGTTATGGTAGGTTATATCCCTGTAATTCTTCCGTACACTGCACATCCATCTAAATACAGTTATGGTAGGTTATATCCCTAGAAAACCAACAAACCTTGGAAAACAAACAAACCTTGGAAAACCAACAACCCTTGGAAAACCAACAACCCTTGGAAAACCATCAACCCTTGGAAAACCATCAACTCTTGGAAAATCATCAACTCTTGGAAAACCAAGAAACCTTGGAAAGCCAACAACCCTTGGAAAACCAACAACTCTTGGAAAACCATCCACCCTTGGAAACCCAACAAACCTTGGAAAACCAACAACCCTTGGAAAACCAACAACCCTTGGAAAACCAACAGACATGGGAATGTCAAGCAACCCTTGAAAAAACAACTCCTGGAAAGCCTTGGGAAAGCCAACAACCCTTGGAAACCAACAACTCTTGAAAAACCATCCACCCTTGGAAAACCAACAAACCTTGGAAAATCATCAAACCCTTGGAAAACCATAAACCCTTGGAAAACAAACAACACTAGGAAAAAAAACCCTAGGAAAAAAAACAACCCTAGGAAAAAAACAACCGTAGGAAAAAAACAACCCTTGGAAAACCACCAACCCTTGGAAAACCATCAACCCTTGGAAAACCATCAACCCTTGGAAAACCAACAACTCTTGGAAAACCATCAACCCATGGAAAACCAACAACCCTTGGAAGACCAAAAACCCTTGGAAAACCAACAGACATGGGAAAGTCAAGCAACCATTGAAAAAACAACTCCTGGAAAGCCATGGGAAACCAAACCCCCCTTGGAAATCTAAACCATCCTTTGAAAACCAAATGATCCTTGCAGAAATCCAAATAACTCTCAGAAGGCAAACATCCCTTAGAAAACCAAACAACCAATTCAAAACTAAATAACCCATGGAAGACCAAACAACCAGACACCTAAATATAAAACAGCAATCTAATACATAATTAAAAAACTAAAAAAAAATGAAAAAAACAGAATAGAAAAGTTCTAATAAACTGAAGAGGACTGTCATAGTAATTGTGTGCCATAAATGATTCCTTACTGCTCCTAATGAAGCGCTAATTGGGAAAATGATGCATTTAACTTGTTTTCTACTTTGAATGGAAACCTTGACAATTTCTTAGATTATCTCCGAAAACAGTTTGTGAATCACTAAGGGCACTGTTTGAGTAGAGGATTATATTACACATTAAAAATCTTAAATATAGTGAATGCGATAAAAAAGCAATTAACTCGTGTCAATTATAGCGGTCAATATGTGCTTTGAAATAAATTCAGCTGAAAGGATTGAGTTATTTCAGTCATTTATGCAGTTTCAGTAGCTGACGGGGGGGGGGCTGATTTAAACAGGGGAAGACTAAAAGAGATTGACTAAATTTATCAGATAAGGATCACGTGATCCAAAGATAAGAATTGATTAATCACCTGCAGAGAGTCCTGTAATCAATCCGGAATCTATTTATCAAGTCCAAATCCACTAAAATCCGCAGTGAGGCCTAAAAATATAATTTTCGTGTATTTTAAGGAAAATATTAAAGTTCATTAGGTTTAGTAGAACCTTGATGCCTGAACTCTTATCTTTATTTATTCATTGGCCTACGCAAGTAAGGATAACAGAACAGTCTGTACATATCCTGTTCGTGTCGGTAACATAATGACGAATTTCCTAAATTTTATAATTTATTTCCGAGACAGATTTCTCGCATTTTTCGCGGATAATTTGGCGGAGTATTTGTCTGTGAGTAAATTCTAGACTAAACAAAATTGCATTTGATTTAAATAAACACATCAAACATTAACCTACCTAAAACAAGAACGAGTAACCAAATATAAAGCCAGTATTCTGAGGATAATAATAATAATATCGAGTATATGAATTAAGAAAAAGGGGCTAAGAGATAAGATAAAAGAAAAAAAATTGTGTTGAGGGTTAGATTGAGGTCAGTATTATGACGTTTTGATAAAACTAAAGGATGCGAATGAGATGAAGGATTTAGGTAAGATAAAGAAAGAATGAGATAAGAGAAATATGGGAATGATAACAAAAATGATACAGAAACAAGAGATACTTATCAGAAGAGAAAGATAAAAAGATGGCAAGATAAAAACAAGAATAAGAGGACAAAAAGAGAAAAAACAAGGATAAAGGACGAGAAAAGAAAAAAAACAAGAAAGAGAGAATGAGGAGAGAAAAAAAGATATGAGAGGATGAGAAGAGAAAAAAACAAGGATAAGAGGATTAGAAAAAAAACCAAGATAAGAGGATGAGAAGAAAAAACCAAGATAAGAGGATGAGAAGAAAAAAACCAAGATAAGAGGACGAAAACAGAAAAAAACAAGATAAGAGGACGAAAACAGAAAAAAAAACAAGGATAAGAGGATAAGAAGAGAAAAAAAGGAAAAGATAATGCTAACAAGAAGGAAAAAAAGGATAGTGTATAAGAGAAAAAAAGGAAAAGATAATAATGACAAGAAGGATTAAAAAGGATAAGAGGATAAGAGGAGAAAAAAAACCAATGAAAAGATAATAATGACAAGAAGGATAAAAAAGGATAAGATGATAAGAGGAGAAAAAAAAACAATGAAAAGATAATTATGACAAGAAGGATAAAAAGTTAAGAAAATAGAAAAGAATAAAAAGGGCACTGTTAAGGAGAGAAGAACAAGGAATAGAGGAGGTAAAAAAAGAACATGAGCCCAAGGTTAAGAAGATTAAGACAAGGATAAGAAGACGAGGACAAGGATAAGTAGGATAAGGATAAGAAGATGAGGACAGGGATAAAAAGTAGGACAAGGAAAAGAAGATGAGGGCTAGGATAAAAGTGGGGCAAGAATAAAAAGAGAAGGGCAAGGGTTAGTTAAGAAAAAGACAACGATGTAAAGAGGACAAGAATAAAAAGAGAAAGACAAGAATACGGAGAAAACTAGAGTGACATGATTAAAGGAAGGGAGGAACTGGAAGAAAACTGAAGGGACAGGATTAAAGGAAGGGAGGAACTGGAAGAAAACTAGAGAGACAGGATTAAAGGAAAGAAAACTCTTGCTATTTATTTATTAAACCCAAAAGTAAACAATGATCTTTAAGAAAACAATCTTTTTAAGAATTCTGTTCGAGAATTTATCAGAATTTGAAAGTTTTTTGAAAATTTTTAAATTCTAAATATCTTTAACTCTTCGATAATATTCAACTGAGTCTATCCATCTCATTTTGTCGAAATCTTGAAAATTTCAAATTTAAAAGTTTTCTATCTTCTGAAGTGTCAATTTAACATTTTTTACTAAATTGATGATTAAGTTCTTTCAAAGTTTAACATTTCTCTCAAGACACGAAATAATCCAAAATCAGAAAATTTTTAATAAATTTTATTTTGCATTTTATTGAATCGAATAAAATTTAAAGTGTTGAGAGGAATGTGGCGCTGACAGAAATAATTCTTATTGTTTGTATTTGGAAAGTTTAAAATAAAAATTCCGCGAAAAATTCCGCCAAGTAAGCACATTTATCTTGAAGCCGACATAGATCCTGGAGTCTGGAGATCCTGACGGAAAAGATTTACTCTGATGCATGTGCACTGTCAGGTTTTATTTTAGTAAAAACATTAAGGATTGATTGCAGAACATTATTTTCAATCAAAGGTTTTTTGTAATTTCTTAATTTAAATTTAAATTGACTTGTTTGATGCTCACTGTTCAGCTTCCTTTAAAATTCTAAAATCACAGATCTTATTGTTCTTTCAATTGGTATTTCTTTTGCTGTTCTTCATCTTTTAAACTTCTTCATTATTCTCCCTATCCTCCTCATCTTCCCCATCCTCCCCATACTCCCCATCCTCCCCATCCTCCTCATCCTCCTCATCCTACTCATCTTGACAATCCTACTCATCCTGCTTATTGCTCAATAGTCAGTCTTCTCATCCTACCCACCTAACCTGTACTTCTCAGGGCTCGACCTGCCTATCTGCACCCTTCCAGCCCTAACTTAACCCAACAAACATTAGGTTATGTGACTAACCTTCAAGGTCTCTGGTTCGCTCAGTGAGAAATCATCGAACTGGAATGAATGAAGATTGTTTGATAGTGCACTCGGCAGCTGCATCCTTAAAAAGATAAATTATTTTTAAATACATTAAAAAAATAGATATGGGATAAAGGAAAAAACTTTAATTTGAATTAAAGTTTTAAAAAAGTTTTTTAAAGAGCTTACTTCGAGAATTCCTCTCCTTCCTTTTCTGGGGCTAGAGCGTGATAAGAGAGGACCTCGACAGTTACCTAGGAAATAAAATATTTAGAAGGATTCATAAAAACTCTTTTTATAGATTAACATATTTTACAAAATTTTGAGAGTAAGTTCATCAATTTGAAATTAAAATGTCCCAAGTGAGATAAGAAAAAATACATGAAAATTACAAATCCATGTCAAAGTTGAAAAAAAAATTTATTTTTAAACTAATTTATAGTTTCGTTTTTTTATGGTAATCTATCTGCTGATTTAAAAACCATCCTTTCTTCTTCGTACGTTAAAGTTTAATACCGATAAAAAATTCCGCAGTTTTTCTATTTACATTGGTGGATTACACCATTTTCCTTAAATTGAAATTCTACACATAACTTTACGTCAATATGGCTGAACCTAGCGACTCGCATTTTTTTTGTGGCAATCCTTATGACCCCCAGGGAAGGTTTATAGATGGTAATAATGAAAAATTTGTCATTTTTGAAAATGCATAATTTTTAAGGGAGAACAATAATTAAAATGGCGACTTCGAAGCAACAGTTAGTTCATGCTAGTTACCAAAACAAAATTGGAACTGCGCGATTGGATCAGCGGTTTTGATCTTATTGGAAACACGTCAAAAGAGAAAGTATAACGATGCAGATGGTCCAATAAAATGGTCTCTTATCTCTAACCTGGAGCTTGGCCTTGGCCTGCATTGCTGTCTCGTACATCTTGACATTGTTGATTCCCATCCCGCAGAACAGGGCGAAGGCTTCAACAAAGTTCTCGTCGTTGGACGTGAAGGGAAGTTGATCAAACTACAACAACTGGGATTTTTAAATACTTTCGACTTTACACTTAAATTTATAATTGAAAAAAAGCTACGATTCTTTTTCTGAATATTGTAAAAATGGGCGTTCAAGAAAAGAATATAAAATTATTGCAGTCGTGTTCATAAATACAGGAAATGTTTTAACTCTATGGATAATAAAATTAAAGCTTTTACATCCCAACTCTAGAGAATTGTTTTTATTTCACTTCATAAGTTCTCCAATATCGATAATTGAAACCTATCTAGGATCAACAACAAAATTCAACTATTCTAAAATTTTTAAAACATAGTTTCAAAAATTATTTTCAATTAGTTTCACTGCAAAACAGGGACTGAACCTCAAATAATGTAGATTATTGCAAATTAAAGAGACTGTTCACCTTTTTAAAAAACTCGCCAAATTTTCCAATTTTTGGATTTAGGAACACAGTGCAGGCGCTCTTAGTACATCGCGTTTATGTGTAATAATTCAAAAATGTTAATGATAGAGAAACCTCGGTTTTCTAACAAGAACACAGCGAAATATCGGATATTCTGTTCCTCGGGGACATCGTTGATCTTTAGAATAAGTTTAGATGTGTTTCTTGTTCAAATGACTTCTGTGTTTATGTTTATTTTCAAATATGTGACCGGTCCCTTTGAGAGATGATTTTATCAGGGAATTTTATAAGATCCTGTTCCAAGAAAGAAAAAAAAATTAGAATCCTATTCCTTGTTGACCAGCTGAAATACTCCCAAGACCTTACCAGGACTGCTGGAGTGCTTGATTGGCATTGCTAGGATTGTTCTGTGCTTAAACGAAGAGTTTTCATCCACCCCTTTATCAAACTTGGCGTCCTCGTACGCGTTCTTGATATTTACTATTTCTCCAGTAGAGGATACGTATCCTGTAATCCCAGCATTGATGGGAAACCGATTCTGAAATGCTTTCTTTCTTCTTTCCCCTCCATCCTGCTCTAAATCCTCCTGGGCTAGGTCGTATATCTGACTAAAGGTCGACTGAGACTCTTCGTTGACGAGAAGGAGCATAGCGCGCTCACACTGAATCAGGCAGAGCATATGTGTGAGTATTCTGAGAATGGTTGTCTCCAGGGTTGACTGCTCCTGGAAGATAACTCCTGCTAGATCCAGGAGAACCTGGTTCCTCTTCACCTCCAGCTGAGACCGTTCATAGATTTGAGCATTACGGAGTCCGATACCACAGAATGTAAGATACTTTTCAAATAACATCACGTCGTTGTCGTCAAACTCTCCACCGTTGGAGCTGCTGCTCTTGTTGATGACCTGAGCAACACCGATCACCTCTCCACTTGAATCCTAGAGTAATAAATGATAAAGATAAATGAACAATATCAGAAGTTTTCAGAGATAATATTTTTATTAAAAGAATATTTTCACAATATGCACTGTTTTTCAAAAATATTTAAATCCTGGTTGAATGGAACAGTTTCTCTTAAAGGTTTTAAATATAATCTTTAGATATTTGCTCCGAGAGGATTACTTAGTTTTACCTTTATGGGACTACACATCATCGACCGGGTTTTATATCCTGTCATAGCGTCCACATCTTGATTAAACCTGAACACAGAGATAAAGTAATTGTTAAACCTTAATATAAATAGTTAATTGATAAACCTAGATCTTCAATAGACCTAGATATTCATGCTTATTAATAGACCTAGCCTAGATATTTAGGTTTATTGATAAACCTAGATATTCATGCTTATTAATAGACCTAGATATTCAGTTTTATTGATAAACCTAGATATTCAGGTTGATTGATAAACCTAGATATTCATTTTCATTGATAAACCTAGATATTCAGGTTCATTGATAAATCTTGATATTCAGGTTCATTGATAAACAAAGATATTCAGGTTTTTGATAATTTCAAAATATTAAGGATTATGATGAATCTAGGTTTATTGATATCTCAACTTAAATATTCAGATTACCAATAATAGAATTTCAGGTTTATTGGTAAACCCAGATATGCAGGTATATTGGTAGACCCAGATATGCAGGTTTATTGGTAAACCCAGATATGCAGGTTAAGTTATGAACCTTGATACTCATTACTCCGGTTTAATAATAAGGTTGATAAGAATAAATGAAGGGATGAGGATGAGAAGAGTGATTAAAAGGATGCAGATGGGAAGGATGAGGGTGAAAAGGATGATTGAAAGGGTGATGAGGATGAGAAGGATGAATGAAACGATAAGGATGAATGAAAGGATAAGGATGAAAAACTAACCTAGGATCCTCGTAACAATTCTTAACATTACAGCTTACTCCGGTCTGAGCTACATAACCTACAATCCCCTGGCCCCAGTTTATCCGAATCTCCCGTCTAGAAACCTGAAGCACAAAATCTAGCATAAATAAACTGTCATTTTTTGGAGTAAGGTTTTACAGATATCCGGGGTTAGTAAGAGCTTCATAAAGGGTTATTGAGTACATCGAACAGATTTCTGTATGATCAGGACTGCACTGGGTTGAAATAACACGAGACGGAAAAGAAAGACTAGTGAAGAGGGTAAAAATATACATCTAACAATAAAACGTAAATTGCATTGTTTTTACCGGGGCAGTTTCAAGTGATTTAGGACCAACCTCCTCCACGGTGGACGAGGAGCTCACATCGAACAGGTTCGAGATAAGGTACTGAGAACTAGTATCCGGGTCCCCTGCAACCAGGAAAAGAGAGCAACGGTCTGACTCCGTTAGTATTCCAACGTTTTGCAAGATCTTATGGCACAGGCTCTTGACGTCTAGCTCGTTACTGATATCCTTGATGAGGTCAAGAATTAGTTCGGATTCGTTAAAGGAGTTCATGTCCATTCTAGACTTTTTCCTAATCTGTCCAGTCAGTTCATTGGAGTTTGATGGAAGTGAGAGAAAGGTTGGAGTTCCATCGACTGTTGTAACCATAGGTTTGTTGAGACCCCCCTTCTCAAACTCATGTGCTGAAACCTTCCTGACCGGAGTAGCTCCGCCGGACCCAGAGCAGGAGCTAATTTGAAACCTGTAATAGAGGAACCAACAATTCAATAGATATGGGTACAGTAATTCACTAACCTGGGGAGAGAATTTAGTTCATCCTCCCTCTCCTCCCCGTCCTCCTCCTCCTCCGTGGACCCGGGGGAGACATGGCAGGCCATCCAGGCGTCTATCATCATTGCAGTTCCTTTTCGAACCAGGTAGTTGTGGAAAAACAGAGGATTATCGTCGAGGAAGGATTCAAGACGGGTCAGTTCAGGACTAAATATGGATCAATTAAGAAAATTGATTTTTTAATACAGAGATTTATTGGATTTCTTTTCCAGACTTGGTTTAGAGATAGAAACAGAGATCAGTCGGGGTATTACAATAAGAAAATGAATAATATGTGTAAGTGATAAAGATCTCTTAGTGTTTAAATTGACTATACACATCAAGTTTATGCAATATTTCATAATATATTTTCAAAACTGAGTTAAATCAAAATTTTTTCTATGCAACCTGACCTCTCTACCAGTTAGAGAAGATTAATAAAGAACGTTATTTTGATTATTTAAAAGTAACATTAAAGAAGGGTTTACCAGCAACTAAGAAAAATATAAGTTAACTCAAAGCAGACATGGATGTAAATACGGAGTCAACTCGTTAAAACAATTCATGTGAACTCTTTGCTTCAAAGTTAAACGAGTTAATTTAACTCTTGGAATGGAGCAATTAAGGCGTTCTTCCGACGAACCGAATTTTACTTGAGTTTTCTGAGTAAATCAATTCTAACGAAAGTACACGCTTGAGATAAATGAACGAACTGAGTAAATCAATTTTAACGAAAAGTACACGCTTGAGATAAATGAACGAACTGAGTAAATCAATTTTAACGAAAAGTACACGCTCGAGATGAATGAACGTACTGAGTAAATCAATTTTAACGAAAAGTACACGCTTGAGATAAATGAACGTACTGAGTAAATCAATTCTAACGAAAAGTACACGCTTGAGATAAATGAACGAACGAGTAAAATCGAGGTTGAAGAATTAACTCGAACTTACTTATTTTCTTTCCAAAAGAGGTTTGCAAGTCCTATTTTTCGTTTTCTCTCTGGGCTCTCCGAGTCAGATAATTTAGTTTCTGAAGGCTGTTCGGTTTCAAGATGGGGTCCATTATCTTTACAGGGTTCGGATTCAGGAGGGGTTCCATTATCTTTAGAGGATTCGGATTCAGGAGGAGTTTCATTAGATTTAGAGGGTTCGGGTTCAATACGACGGGTTCCATTATCTTTAGAGGGGTCTGATTCAGGAGGGGTTCCTCTAGATTTAAAGGGTTCGGGTTCAAGACGGGTTCCATTATCGTTAGAGGGTTCTGATTCAAGACGGGTTCCATTATCTTTAGAGGATTCGGATTCAGGAGGGGTTTCATTATATTTAGAGTGTTCGGTTTCAATACGGGTTCCATTAGGTTTAAGGGGGTCAAAATCAGGAAGTATCATTATAATCAATAGTTCCGGTTTCTTATATAGCTTGTATAGCTGTATATAGTGTAGATTCTAAATGAATGAGAATGTTTGAATCTTCTTTTATCTGTAGCATATTCAAGCAGTTTATCTAAACATCCGGAAATATACAGGCCATCAGGCCAACGCTGAAATATGGCCTTTAAAATTTATGTGAAGTTTGCTGACCGGAAAATGGGTGGAAAATATTTCTTTTTTAACAATTAAGAATTTAAATTCAAATAAAAAAATTGTTTTCTTTATAGTGTACGAAAATCATAAGCAATAAAAAATCTGCAATAACAATTAAATTCCAATTTTTAAACAAACTACTGTTTAATTTAGCTTATAAAATATGTAATAAATAAAAAATTTGGTCAAGACCGTGGAAGAAAAAGTAGAAAAAAATGTCTTAAACTTAAAATTTATTTTTAATATTATAGACACAACAAATTTTTGTTTAAAACCTTGTCAATTTTTTTACAGGTCAAAGACCCAAAAACATAAATTAGATGTAAAGTACGTTGGCGGCAAAAAAAAGTTTGAAATTTGTAAAGAATAGTTTGTGTAAATTTTTTTTATGAAGAACTGAACACTTTACAGTAATTTAACCCTGATAAGATGGGTTCTCTTCTTCAAAACTATTATTTAAATCAACTAAGAAAATGTACGGCAAATGTTCAGCGATGCACGCCATTATACAACCAGGGTGTAATGTAGGGGATATACTTTTCCATGCGCACAACAGAATTTAACGTAGTTATCAGAAAAAGATTTGATTTTGTTTGTAAAAAAGCTTAAATTAATAAACATTGAAGAAAAAACATCTTGTGTTTGTTTCCAATAAAATTATATATTTAGATTTGTCTACAAATTGTTTCGACGTTAAAAATAAAGATGAAATTTGCGCAAGTTGTACCACCTTCCCTTCAAATATCCTTGCTTTCAACTCTATTTTCACTTTCCCAAGGAACTATATACAGGAACGCCCAACTCAGATATACAAATATTATGTACTGTACACTGTGGGAGGAATGTAAACAATCCCTGTGCCTCCACAGAAGTTTAAGGAAAAGGACTAAAGCTCTGATATGATATGATATTACAGTCCATCAAAAAACAAGTTGATATATCCAGTTAGAGCGAATACATACGATTTTTGGCTTTCTGGTCAATTTGGAAAATACAATAGCAATATTTTTTGAATTCTTTGTTTTGATTCCTCCCACTGCAGTACACAGATTTGACGCATGAGATAAGGCGGTTCCTGGTCTATATATTTCTTGCACTTTCCACTGTCGTAAATTATTATGTGAGTACAAAGTTATCGTACATAACCGGGAAACTAACCAGATTTCAGGGGCACTATAGGGCTGCAATATATACTTTAAAGGGGGCCGGGTATGAGAAGAATTGTAAAACCTTATAAATTTAAACAAATTCTATACTACCTGTAATCATCTCCAAATATCTCTTTAAGGTTTGTATCCTCCCCCAAACTATCCTCCTCCACGGGTTGCGAGGGTGGGGAGGCAGAGGTAGAGGGAGCCTTCTCTTTTTCTCCTCTAGTCTCACCAATTTTTGAGGGAGGGTTAGTAGCCCCTCCTCTCGTATTAGAACCGGAGGGGGGGCTCTCAACCCCCCCTCCCTTCTTACTAGCCATGGGACCTAGATTAAATAATTTGAAAAATTTCCTTTATATAAGCATCATTTAAAAAAATATCATTTGGTATACAAAGATCTGAATATTATTCCAGAATGAAGAAGAAACCGACCAGGTTTCCTCCATCGTACATCAGTGCAAAGATATCGTAGATTGTTAAGAATCTTTGATAAATGTCTTAAATTGAAAGGTTTTTCAGAAATGGTTAATTATCATTTAAGACCAAATAGTAGAATAGAAAATATTTTCAGTTCCTTAGCCAAAGTTTTGTAAAGAAACTGAGTTTTTACCACAAACTCTAAATTTCTTATTCCCACCATCTTTGCAACCCAATCTTGAAGGAGACCTTTGATATTTTGAACTATGAATCCTGTTAGATCAAATAATCTATAAGGTTAAAATATCAAAGGTTTACACTGTTCGAATGCAAAGATATAGGAAATAAACTATTTGAGCCTGTGAGCAAACACTTAATTCTTTGGAATTTAGTTTTGGATTCTGATTGAAAAAGATTAGAAAATAACTTTAGCAGGATTATTAGCTGTGAAAATTGAATCCCATCGACCTAGGTTTTTCTAAAGTTAGAACAAAGATGTTTTGCTTGAAGATTGCTAAATGATAATACAAATTCATAACTTTACATATCACGATAATCGATAAACATATGCAACGTTTTTTTACTCTTCAAGATCCTAATTTCTCAAAGATATGATGAATATATGCATAATTCATGCGCTAATTGAAATAATGAAGAAATTAATGTTTTTGCTTCTACAGTGATAACCAGAAAACTCTGGAATAGGAAGTTGACTTTTAGACTCAATATATCACAATAAATCAAAGAGAATAGAATATATATTAGAGTGTAATTTAGACAATCCTTCGGTATGAATTTTGTCAGTCCCTTTCAGCCTGAAAGGGAGTTCAAAGTGTACAAATCATGTAAATATTCACAAATTATATGCAGTAGGGTACATTAATACAGTATGTTCCCTAGACTATCCAATTCAATTTCGATTTTTTTAAAGCTGTTAAATAAACTTTATAAAATGAATTAGGTGAATAAAAAACATTAATTGATTTATTGTTATAACGGAAAATCATCGTCTGTAAAGTGAAAGGCATAAAGTCTATGTGAAATAATCATTGGTCAATTATGAAACCAGCCTATTTCAAAATTTGGTTTCTTTTAAAATTAATTTTAGATTTTCTATAAAATGATGTTCCATGACCCAAAAAGTTACATAGCGTAAATATGTGAAGTACACCTGCAGTATGGAAACAGTACAACAAAATGGCCGTTTTACACTTTTTTCTAGTAAATTCCCCTCTAATGTATATTCTATTCTCTTTGCATTAAATAGTCCAATGAACATGAGGCAGAGCAATGGTGCAATGTCAACAGACCCATTTCACTTAATAAATTATTTAATAATTTACTTGTAAAGCTATTTGCTTTGTAACAGCAGAGAATGCACTTCAGTATTGCTTTAATGGCGTCTTCCTATTCCACAGTATTCTAGTTATCACTGTATATCAATTTTGTATTAAATATGAAGAAAAATAATGCATACTTGATATCTCTCAGCGGTAAACATAAAACAAACAACTTTCTTAATTTCCAAAATTTAAATTTCCATCATTGACTTTTTTTTTTTGGGGGGGGGAATTCTCAGTTTATATTTTTGAAGGGGATGCAGACGTAATTTCAAGTGAATTTCCACAATACATAATTTCTATTTAAAAATTGGGTATTTTCAAGTTTGACTTCTCTACAAAAGTGACTTGCAGATTTTTTTTTAAACAAAGAAGGAAATTGTAAGAATTTAACAATTTTCAAGCAAAACAAATTAAGATATTATTATTGTCGATCAAAAAAAACTTTAAATTACAATGAGAGTCGTTTTAAAGAGGCGAATACATTTCATAGTGGAAGGTAAATGTGTAGAGGGTTACAACGGGTTGTTTATACATCTCCTTCTAACCTTCTATATTGTGGATTACAAAGGATTAGATGAAATGAAATCCTAGGATTACAGAATATATAATAGGAATAGAAAGTTGATAAATAGCAGACTCACACTTTATAATAGCACCGAGAGATTCTTTTAATTCCTCTCTATATATTCTATTCTCTATCACTAAAGTACTTCCAGATGTACACAATAGAACAACCTCCGAGCCGGAAAATTAAGAGAGAATTTTTAAACGAAACTCCGAGTTTCCTTTTTCGGGGTTATACATTTGCGTAGATTTTAATTTAAGAAATCAGAAAACAAAGCAGAATGTAAAGAAACCAAATGAAATAATATTTCGTTAAAAAAATATTGGTATTTACAAAACTGCCTGACCTCATTCATGAAACCGGGTTTCCGATACTGGGTTTCATTACGATACTCTGTCTTAAGTTTCTGGCTCTGATGACGCATTTTCTGTGCTATCGATCAATTTTCCCTATTTCTAAAAACTGAAATTTTTTCATTTACCCAAGTTTATAGAAACACCGAGGCATGCTAAATTCACCTTGGTAGCATCAGTTTTGAAAGAAACTGAGTTACTGCCACAAACTCTGATTTTGTAGACCTTTGAGGTTTTAAACTAAGAATTATATCAGATCATATAATCTAAGTTTGACATAGGAAAGGTTTACACCATCAGGTTGGAAAGATATAAGGATGAGAAAACTTTAGCTTGTGACCAGAACTCAGTTCTTTCTTAGATTATCATCTCCCTGGAGGTAATGAAGTAAATCTTACCAAGAATTGAGTTTCCCCGTTTCTGCCAGTTAACAGGAGGAGATATCTTCTGTTTTCTGTTCTTTAAATCCAGTTTGATCCAGCTCTAATCCAACTCTAATCTAAATTAATTCAATAAATTCAACCAAAAAGTATTTAATTCTTTTTAAAATCGAATTATAGAATCTGAATTTTTTTAAATGAAATTTTTAACAAGTTTATTTAAAAAGTATGTACCGTGTAGTTTTTTTAAGAGCAATGGCAATTTAAGAAAGTAGGACAAAAGTTGAAATTCTACTAAAATTTTAAAATTATATTATACCTCAAGATGATGGACATACCTATACATTTAATTTGGCTAAGAAATTCCAGATGCATAGATATCTGAAAAAATACAAATTGTTAAAAATCTCTTCTTTTTATTTTGATCTTTGTTTTTGTTTTTGTAAAGGAAAGTATTTTTTTCTTTTTTTTTATTAAACTTTAAATCCCTTTTGCCAGCATTAAAAGTGAGAGTCAGTAAAAATAAAACTATAAATGCTAATTCTTAGAATATGGAAATCAGAAATCAGATATTGCTATTTCTGTAAAATCATCAAAGTCCATTTCCTAATTCTAGACTATAAAGATGTTTTCATTTATATCAAGCTTTTATAAACAGCATGGATACACTTAAAAATAAAAACAAAGAGAAGCTGAAAAACAACTTTTCTTTGATTACTTGTAAACTTGTAATTCGAAAAGAGCTTGTTAAAAATCAAAACTTTATGAAAAAGTCGTCTTCATTTTACTGATATAATTGCATGTAATTTAATTTGAAGAATTGATAAGATGAGAAAATACGCTGAAATAAGTTAAATCAAATTAACTAAATCATCAAGTTCTCAGAGTT